ATGAGGCTATCCGCATCAATAAAATTTTTTAAGACGAAAAATCAAATTTTATGTTGTCATATGCATACCGCCAAGAAGTGTTTTAAAATCGTATTTTATTGTAATTGTAGGGTGCCCTTCCTATGTAATTTGCCCTTCTGTTTCTGAAAACACTACTATTTTTATGAAAATATCAGTGGCATAGAAGTACTGGTAAAAAGAATGATACCTCTGAATTTCCACCCCTAAATTTCTCATTTATCATCGCCATATTGAATCATACAGACGTATTGACGTACAGACAAACATGCATCGATTGCTGTAAAATTTGTTTTGTTCCTCGTTTGATGACCGAACAACAGTAAGAAAATTATGTGGACGTTTGTCGGCAACTCCTTGAATGATTCAATGACAATGAATCATTCATTCAAAGGATCATAACAGGAGACGAAGGTTGGGAAAAATTAGTTAAATAAGAATTTTCGTGTTTAGGATAGGAAAAATTTAATAAATGTTTAAAGTATGCTTTGAGAAACAATTGTTATCTGAACAATAGAACTACAAGCATTTAATATTTTTTTGTTAAAGATAATTTCTTAAATATACCTGTAAGGTGTGATAACTGACATGTTATATTTAAACAATAACGATAATTTTTCAGAAATTGTTATAATACTAACGGTTTTAGTGAGATATAGGGTATTAGAAGTTTGACTGCCTTAACTTTAACAGACGATATAATACATTAAAATAAACAAAAAAAACCTTATACGACATGGGCCCTAAACTCAAGCATTTCTGAGAAAAAAATTATCAAAATCTCCAACTTGATGTACAAAAGTTCGATTAATTAAGAAATATTGACATAACTGCGTACGTAGAATACCAAAAAATGCAATGTTTATCACTTTTTGAACTTCTTTATGCATAATTCGAAAAATAATTAGCGTTCTAGTAAATTTAAAATTCGATAAAATTCATATGGAGCAATGTGACAACGGCGCGGCGCGGCGGATAGCACAAGGTACTAAGCTGTCCAGCAATACGCAATTCAGTTGGTGATGGTATCTGGAATTGGACCGTGTTGGAGTGTTTTTTGCGTACCACTATTTCCTTTTCTTTAGATGTTTTCCAGCGAGTGCGCGAAAATTGGATTCAAAGGTGTCGCGCGTTCACCGAAAATGGTGGTTGTAGTTTGTTTTCTACTTATGCGTTTAAAATTTACTGAATTTTGCTGTTTGGTAAGTAAATATTGAAAAATAATACACATCTAGTTCTGAATGTTTATATTGTATTCTGTATTGTAGTTTTGACAATACACACGAAATTTTGATCTGCGAAGATATTGTAAAACAACCCCGAAACGCTGGCAATGAATTAAAAATTGTTTTTTTTTTTAACTTATTAATCTTTACCTCTACACCAGGAAAATTAGCGAAAATAAAAGAGAAAGTCGAAAAAAGTCCTATCCGCGAGATTATTGTAAAATTGTCTAAAGGAACATAATACAAGACATCTCTTGTCTCGTGAGTCAAAAACTTTTATTAGCAAACTTTTCTATTTAAACAAATAAGTGAGGAAAACAGATTTTTCACTTTGCAGGGAAAACCATCAATTTTAGCGAAAAGTGACTCATAGACAGCTTATAGGGAGTAAAATTATCTACAAAATGAGACTTGTTAAATTAAAATCGATTAATAAACAAAAAAGTTATTGCAAAAAAAAACAAGAAAAGTGCCCATTTTTTTAATTTGTGTATAACTATCGCATTTATTGTTAAAATTTTATAAAACCTATGACAAGTTGAGGGTTTTGTCATACTTCAAAAGTGTGCCAAAAGTGGGCGCTGTAGGTGCAATAGTTTTCGCACAATTCTATTTGTTTATAACGGGGGCTCCAAAAGTTATTAACTTTAAGCCTCTGTACAGGCGTTAATTTTCAGCCAAATATGATTCTGAAAGCGTCATTGTAATCTTAAAGACGTAATTAAGCGACCTATTAAAAAATATCACCGTTTTTTTGACAATAACATTCTCAAATTGTGCATTAAAAAACCGTACGTTTTTCGCTTATAAACAATTTGAATAACATTGTTGCTATTTATGCTATCTCACCGAAAATGGATTCAATGGATAATGGATAGCTGGCAAAAAAATACAGTTTTTAAATAAAAAATGTACCCTATACGACCAACAGGAGCCAAGATAAGAATTTTTTTTAAATGGTAGCGAAGTTGTTTATAAATATTAGGACTTGAATTTTAGCAAAATACAGTTTACGACGTAAACTACGATTTCCCGTGAATTGCATTGAAAAATGTGGAAAATTAACGACTCACGAGCCCTTTAAGGAGAAGGTACTCGCTAAGTTAACTGTGCGGCGGCCGGCGGTGTGGTGGTGGGGGAAGCTCGTCCAAGCGGTCGCGCGCGCGAGAAAAGTTAATTCCAAAGTTCAAATTGATGCGCGCTGTAAATTTTGCAATATGTCGGCTTCTATTCATCGTAGAAATTTATTTTTTTTTTAACTGGGGTAGCTGGACGAAAAAATAACAATGGGAATATTTACTAATTCGCAGAATAGCCCTGAACCCCAGAAAAAATGCATCTTTTATACTGAAATTTTTTTAATTTACAAAAATGTCACAAAAATTATTGTTAAACAAAATATTAATTAAAATTTCAATTTCGGAATTATTTTACTAATATTAAATAAATAAATGAAGCTATCGTTCATTTAAAAAGTTATATATTTTTTTCATATTAGGGCAAAGTAAATTTCTTTTTTCAATATTTTGATAGCTATTTAATAACGATTTAAAATTAAAGTGAAAATTCATAAATTATTTTCAAATTATTATTTCTCATAAAAATAGAAAAAAATTTAAATTTTAAATTGTTGTATTATATTGCATTATATCTATTATTGAAAATGGTTGTGATTCATATTTTTTAATTAATTTTGATTATGTTTCAAAAATTTTTTTGTATAAAATTAGTAATAAATATAATAAAAAAACTATATATTCAAATTTCAAGAAGTTAAAATTGTAATTTTATCGACCGCATTATTTTTATTAATATTTTTTAATTTTGAGAATTTTGTAATAAATTCAAATGCTTTTTATTCTTTTTTAAATCTTTTAACAATAATTAATTTCAATAAATTTGAAAATAATTTGTGAATTTTTACTTTAATTTTACATTTAAATCTTAATTAAAAAACTAACAAAATATTGAAAAAACAAGTTAAATTTGCCTTAATATGTAAAAAAAATAACTTAAATGAACCATAGCTTCATTTATTTATTTAATAATAGTAAAATAATTCCGAAATTGAAATTTTATTTAATATTTCGTTTAACAATAATTTTTGTGACATTTTTGTAAATTAAAAAAATTTAAGTATAAAAGATGCATTTCTTCTGGGGTTCAGGGCTATTGTTAATTTTTCGTCGAGCTACCCCAGTTTAAAAATCTACGATGAATAGAAGCCGAGACATTGCAAAATTTACAGCGCGCATCAATTCGACGAGCTTTCCCCCCTCCCCCCCCCCACCACACCGCCGGCCGCCGCACAGTTAACTTAGCGAGTACCTTCTCTTTAAAGTGCTCGTGAGTCGTTAATTTTCCACATTTTTCAATACAATTCACGGGAAATCGTAGTTTACGTCGTAAACTATATTTTGCGAAAAATTCAAGACTTACAATTAGTATTTATAAAAAACTGCGCTACGATTTAAAAAAAAATTCTTATCTTGGCTCCTGTTGGTCGTAGAGGGTACTTTTTTTAAACTGTATTTTTTTGCCAGCTATCCATTGCATCTATTTTCGGTGAGATAGCATAAATAGCAACAATGTTATTCAAATTAAGCGAAAAACGCACGGTTTTTTAATGCACAATTTGAGAATGTTAATCTCAAAAAAACCGTGATATTTTTTAATAAGTCGCTTAATTGCGTCTTTAAGATTACAATGGCGCTTTCAGAATAATGTTTGGTTGAAAATTAACGCCTGTACAGAGACTTAAAGTTCATAACTCTTGGAGCCTCCGCTATAAACAAATAAAATTGTGCGAAAACTATTGCACCTACAGCGCCCACTTTTGACACACTTTTGAAGTATAACAAAACCCTCAACTTGTCATAAGTTTTATAAAATTTTAATAATAAATGCGATAGTTATAAACAAATTAAAAAATGGGCACTTTTCTTGTTTTTTTGCAATAACTTTTTTGTTTATTAACCGATTTTAATTTAACAAGTCTCATTTTGTAGATAATTTTACTCCCTATAAGCTGTCTGCGAGTCACTTTTCGCTCAAATTGATGGTTTTCCCTGCAAAGTGAAAAAACTGTTTTCTTCACTTATTTGTTTAAATAGAAAAGTTAGCTAATACAAGTTTTTGACTCACGAGACGAGAGATGTCTTGTATTATGTTCCTTTAGACAATTTTACATAATCTCGCGGATACGACTTTTTTCGAGTAAAAACTTAATTTGCTTGGTCAAGTCACTAAAACCGTTAATAGTGATACAGTTTTCTATTTTATGGATTATTTGATATAAAAAATGATAAACTGTGACTACAAATCTGTATTGAAGAATTCGTAATTAAAAATTCTTTTTGTTGCGACTAAAAATATACGAGTTAAGAATGAATACAGATGAAATTAATGTGGTGTTAAATCGAAAACTTAATAAATAAAGGATCCGATATAGGACTATAATTGAAAGAAGGTATTTAGTATTTCCTTACATCATTTTCTGCAAAGAGTAATAGAAGTTTCTTCTCAGAAAATCATTTATTGGACACATTTTTAAATCGATATTCAGTTACTTTCCTGATTATACATTCTTATTTTATAAAACTTACATTATGTATATTTTACTCAATTAATACCTCATAAATCGCCAAAAAAGGAGAATTATTCGTTTTTACTTCGGTTTTAAAAAGCGACACAAATTAATTAAAAATTTTTAAAGTAATCTTTGTAAGTACAATTTTCATAAAGTGTTGTACTTACTTCTTGTTGCGCATCATCGTTCATCCAGTTCAGCTCAACTAACAGCAACTTCTTCTGGAACTGCACCCTTACCTAAAACCGAACATAAACATGAATATTTCATCCCCTTTTGACTCCTGTTTTCTAACTTACGCAATTCGAGGCGTAGTGCGCCTCATCGCAAATGAAAAACAACAGGGCAATAGCATAACCCGCAGTTATGGCCAGGCCAATATCTTTAACTCCAAGACCCTCCTGAATCTGAGACATCAGCCCGTAGATAGTCAGGGTGATGACCAGGAAAAGGTAGAGGCAGAGGAAGGTTACGGTGTAGCCAAAGGCGTTGCCTACGTCTCGTATTATTTTGCTCAACAACATCCACAAGGAGCGATAGTCCGCCACTCTAGCTGAAGGCCCTATGTTTCTTAAGGCTTGCTGGAAATCCGAGGCTATAAGAGTGGCCACTTTCCCGATAAGGTCGCAGTAAATGTACCAGGCTCCTCCAATGAGGTAAGTTATTGTGTTTATGTAACAGTAAGGAACCACCTAAAGTTGAAAGAATTTAAAATAAATGTAAAGGTTTACAAAAGTATTGTTTTGAAAATATACAGTCAGAGCAGTCTTTAACCTTTTGGAGGCCCCGGGCACTTTAGGATAATGGGGCCCCTATGACAAAGGACTATTTTATTAAAACAGGCAATAGCAGTAGATAACCATATATATTTATTGAATTGTTATTTTTGTTTCTTTACAGTTGCATTAAATGAATAGGTAATTATAATATAATCCGGAAAAGTAACTCTTTTAGCATTCACTATACGCAGGTTAGGGCCTGGGTACTTACCCAGAGTGGCCAATGGAAAAGAAGGGCCTGTATACAGTACAAAATGCAATGTATTAAAATGGAATTTAGTAGAAATATGTTTTTGTGAATATTGAAAATATCAGTATTAGTTTTCGACGATTTTTTAAAAAATCTTTATGAAGTCATTAGTTTAATTATCAGCGACATTTCAAAACATACATTTTTTACTGCATTGTATTCAGATATTATTATTAGGTATATCTTCTTAATAATAATTTTGTGATTAATATATCTATTTCTATTTTGACATATATTTAAATAAGTCACGTCTTAAAATGTCAAGGTATAATGATGTCATTATAAATGTCGGTTTTAGTATTTTCAAAATTTTATTTCTGCCAAATATCAATTCAGATCATTGGTCACTGTATTCTGAAAAATATATAATACATTGTTTTTTGCAAAAAAGATATGACCAATATTTGTCATTTATTAAAGTCATTTTATTTTTTATTGAACTATAGCACCTTTTTTCAAAACAACCTATGAAGCGAAACAGCTGATTTCCTCAGTCGTCTTTATTAACAAAGATTCGAAAACAATTATTATCCTTATACATTTGTTTTTATTAACAAATAAATAATATTTGTGTTAATATTTAAAATGTAAAAAATATCTTATTCATTTATGTATCTAGATAAAAAGATCTGTTTATACCTTGTCTTCACTGCGCATTAAAAACGCAGTAAAAACTAGGTTAGTGACTAAATAATACGGTAGGTCAAGAGTGAAGAGTTATAATAAAATGCTCGAAATTATTACAGCTGCTGCTAATAATTTATGACTACAAGATCAGCGACACGAATGAAAATCTGCTTTTATTCGTTAAAACTGGATTAGACTTACTCAAAAAATGTGTTTACGAGTTGGGGGATAAAATTTTGAACAGTTGCCACACCACTGATTTTTTTCTTGATGAATATACTAATTAACGATTACTTTTAACAATAGTAGGAATTAGTAACAGTAATAAATGCAATAATCGAATTCGTTAAATAATTTCCGATTAACTGAGGATGCATTACACTAGATCAGATATTACAGTCAACTAAATGCTAGTGGTTAGATAAAAAAAATTAAACAGTTTTCTAATTGCCTTTTTTATTCCCTTTTTACACCATATTATTTATGGATACTCGTTGTACATCCCATATAAATATTTTTTTATAAGTTATGTACTAATCTACCAACCTGGAGAAACCTGAAATGCACCATCGTAATATGCGTCACTATCATAGTAGCCACAGACAGCACAGGTAACCCAATGGCTGTTATAAGCGGCCTGTTACCCAGGAAAACATAAATCTTCTTCTTCGAAATCTTCCGGTACATTTTCTCAAACGCCACGAGATTCGTCAAAACCGCGGCTTGTTTTCTTGCCTCATACCACGCTATGGGATTCATGACGATGGGAATCAGATATACAGTGAAGAGGTAATCGATAACAGCTTCTTCGAATCTACCCTCGGCAGATCTCACCATCTGGACTCTATCCCATCTGATGTATCCAATGTATCCCAAAATGAGGAAACAGATGACTATCGAGTATATCATCCACTGCGGAGTGACTTGAAATATCTGCCCTTGGTTGGTTATGGGGAAGATCCCCATGACTCTCATAAGGGTCAACACGGGCTTCAGTGTGTCGAAAAGGGCGCTATCTAATGCAGATTTTTGGAAAGCGTTGGGAGCGCCGTTGGCATAATCTCCTGGAGCTGGAGCGACTTTGGTTATTTTAGACAGAGAGGTGTGGTAGAATGGTTGGGCGCCTTCTAAATATACGCTCCTTTTTCTAGCTGGTTCAGTGACGGAATCGCCTATTATGCTTAGGTGGTTCAGGTTTCGGTTGTACATTTTCTTTATGTCTGAAAAGAAATAATAGATATTTAGTTAAGTATTCAGTATAAGCCGACGCAACACATGCGGTAGTAGCTATTATAGAACTACAAATGCCTGTGATGTGGTCATTCATCAAATATTTGTGAAACATAATTTGCATAGTTTATTTGACGGAAATCTGTAGAGTCAAGTTGTATCATAAGAACAACAAACAAACAATGTACAGATGAGAATATGACAAATATTTCATAAATGAAGACCTACTTACTGTATCCATATGCACCATCCTCACGATACGACATTTGTTTACATTTTACAAATATTTGTAGTCGGCTAAATGTCCACAGTCCCCACATAGCATAATGCATTTGTTTACCTTTAGCGTATTTTTAACAACTGACCTCATCATCTCGAGTCGGCTTCAACAATACCTCATACAACTAGGTGCGTATTTGGCGAAAACCGCATGTATCATGGCACCAGCTTAACAATATCTTTTAAAATCTTTAGTCTTTACGTAATTGTTTTGATAGCATTTATTTGCTTTGATATTTATTTATTTATTTAATTTAATTTAATTCATCCAACCGTTTTACAGGATGAATAAAAACAGAACATATGTAACATAAGAGTAGCATAATTACAATAAAATAGCAAAATAAAGAAAGACAATAAAAACGGAATAGAACATCAAAAATAGTTAAAAAACAACGGCAAAACAATAAATAATAAATAAATAACTAACAATGATATAACAATATTACAAAATAAATACAAAAAGGAAACATGAGTTATAAGATATATTTAAAAAAATTTAATATAGTGTTTCAGAAAAACGAACCATAAATTATAGGGGTAATAGAATATAGAATTTTTTTTCTTCGTCTATCCTCATTTGTTGTCAAGATAAGTTATTTTTTTTATTAAAATTGGTAAGCGTATGTTTTGAAAAACCCTAAATTATTTTCTAAATATAAATAGACGAACCTAATAACAACAACAATTTATTTGATGGACTTTGAGGCGTACAAGTTTTTTATGAATTCCTTAATTTCACTCATAAAATGTATGCTCATCAAAGTCGTCTAAACAATCTCGATTGCCATATTTTTTTTAATTTTGTATTTTAATTCTGGTATTTAGTTTACAGAAAGTATAAAATAATATCGCTCAGTAAAATCACTTGAAAAATTAACACACTTGAAGTAAATAATATTAATTCACTGATTCGATTAAATAATAAAAGTTTATAAATATATTTATTTTTGACATTTTTAATGATAAGTAATAAGAACAATAAAAAAGGGAACACAAATTGAAACAAAAAGAAAGCCTGGCTTAAATTTTTGTGCTTTTTATAAAAAACGATGTTGCTTTCTATACGAGTAGATATAAAAAATGTGATTTCTTAAAATATTTGTATGTTATAGACTATTTAGCTATTTATTTATTTATTTATTTTTTCAATACAATATGTTGCTTAGTTTTGGAAATGTTAGTAATACTAATTTAAAAAAGAATAACCTTGATGCCCTGTATCTTGAAAACAAAAGACGATAGACCCATATATTTCATATATTATTATTACTATTTTGTTTCATGTTCCATCAGTGTTTATTTTTATTATGATGTGAAATTTTCAATTATATTTTTTAAAGTACAAATAATTACGTATTTATTCTCAAAACTAACATTATAACATATGTAGTTATGGTTAGGTTTAAAGAAACTACGAATAACTAGAAAGATTTCCAACTAATAAGTACTAAAACAGAATTTAAAAAAATAAAAAAGCTTTCGAAATAAGGACTCCTTATTCGTTTACTTTTCACATTTTCCAAAATATTAACCAAAAAACACCCACTCATGCTGTGACTCAAAAGCATAAAAATAATCGCGTTTTAGATTTAGAAAAAAAATACTATTATAGATATATTGTTAGAGCTTACCGTTACGCCGTATGTATTTTGCAAAAATTTCAGTGTATACTCAAACAATGCTCAATTGCTCACTTCTGCGACACGTTAGAAACTGAATACCTATTCGCTTGCTTAGAATTCGAAGCATTTTGTAACATTAGCACCCAAGTGACGTATTGTTTTCTTAAGGGTATAATTATAAATGACCTACGATTAATATGTCAATTTAGGATCAATTATTCACTTTATTGGAAACGGGTCAAGTTTTCAGAAAATTATACGTTTTTCCATTGAAAAATATAGTAACTCAGTTGATGCTTGCACTTCGTTTGAGGCAAAGCAAATCCATATGGCATATATATGGATTAATAAGAGAACAGACAAATATATTTTATTAAGACGGATATTTCATATCAACACTATTGATACATACTTCAGTTGTTCAGTACTACACTTATAGAGGTATTGTACAGGGTGAAACATGTTTTTATTGTTTTAATTTAATCTGCAGGTTATACCATAACACTTTATTTTTTGCCCACATTCCCAATTTGTTTCAAAACGAGGCAGTGTTTGTATAGGAACATCTGTTTAAATAGTATTTGTTTTCTGTTGGTCGTAAATTCGCTATGATACTCCATTATCTGTGTTAGTGAAATAGTTTTCAATTTTTCAATCGGGTAGAGAAATAATTTCTTGAAGAAATTTAAAAGCTCGCCTCACCCATAGGCCTAAAGAACAGAGAAACGTCTCCTTTTCAATACGGTTGACTTCTTAAGGTTACAAATCTTTACCTCCTTAAAACCTTATCCGTATCCCAAATAACACAAACCTATCTAAAGATATTTTTAGGATATCTAGTGGGATATGGAATGCAATTTAAATACGAACTCAATAGAAGTCCGAAAAATCAATCGTGTGTAATTCTGTATTCTGTTAGAGAATATAACACAAATATGCCCTGTTTATGTATATTTAAAATTGTATAATTATAAAAATATCCTATAAACTTTTTTTATGATACAATTATTTCTAAAGCTATGTTAGGATAAAGGAAGCGCTTGGTAACGTTAATGAAAATTAAAAATAATAAATTAAAAATGGTTAGTTTTTTGAATAACATGAAAGATGCATTTTTTCTTAGAAATAGTGACAAAATATTCATTGGCTTCGAATTTCTAGGGTTTTTAGTAAAAGTTTCTTCCGATATCTCCGCCACTGGTACGACATATTTTTATCCGAATTAAGTGGATTTTCAGCTTTAATTAGTTTAGTTTAACTAAGTTTCGTTATTCTATATCAAACGTCTTCAGAGATATTTTAGAAAACCTAAAATTTGTTTTAAATTTCAACACCCTGTATCTCGAAAGCTTTTGATTTACGGACCCATGTTAATACAACCTTATTGCTCACTGAAAGAATTACTCTTTCAAGTTTGTCGACTTAGTTAATATACAGTGTGGTACATTTTGGTGATGGTATCTTGGGAACTTTAAGACAGGGGGCAATGGTTAAATGGGGAAAGTTTTAGACAGTTCTGTTCCTAACTTAATGGCGCTTGCAGACCGGTTCTAGTCCTTCAGGTTTTTGAGTTATTTTGAAAAAAAAGTAAATGTGGCGTGTTCGAGAATCGACTGTAATTTTTTTATTGAGAGGAATTTTTATAATCTGAAAACACTTTTTCACAGAAAGTGTTTTCAAGGAATTTTACTGTATATTTAGATTGTCATTGCATATTTTCGGTTGCGAAGAACCATTATCAACTTTATTTTTTCTTATGGGCGCCATATTGAATTTTAAGCTGAGCAATTAGACTATTTTTTTTTGGCTTTTTAATGATATAATGTAATTAAGAAAAAATTTCAAAAACAATCTCAAAAGTTTAGCACATTTAAAACATTTTAATATTTTTTATTTTTCTGGCAGAAGCGCATAACTTTTCGAGGTTGTTTTTCAATGACGATAAGTGACCAGTCGTATTTGAAAATGTCATGGAATATTTAAAATAATAAATGTTTCTTATATTGCTGGTAACTCTTGCAAGCAGTAACACCATACCCCATTTGGTTTAAATTGGCTTGTTATGTATAAAAGAAATATTACAAGAAAAAAATTGTGTAGAGATAACTCTAAGGAGTTATTGGTAAAGATAACGATGTAAGCGTTGACTGAAAACCTTTCACAACGATGTAAAGAAGTAAAGATCAATCACAATAGAAATAATATTTCTGTACTGAAATCTTTTAAATTTACAGAGAGGGCGCTGTATACTTCATAGTTCAACAGGTAGACCATAGATGTCGCTAAAAGTGTGTAAGCTGGTAGCTGGGTACGTAAGTAAATTTCTTGAATAAATGAATAAAAACATAACATAACCTTGTTGTGATGAGTGTTGTGTTATTTTTTGTCAAAAATTGTTAAATAATGCCTTATCGTTGTTGTGTGCCCAACTGTAATTCTCAAGGGAAATGGAATCCCATCGTAAAGTTTTATCAAATTCCGAGTGATGAAAGAGTAAAGGTAAAATGGTTGAAGGCTATAAACATACTGGAAAAGGATCTACCTAAACGACCTAAAATATGTTCGAAGCATTTCGTAGAGTCCGACTACAGTATTACAAGATTTAATTATTCACTAAGTAGTAAAAATAATCCATCTCCAAGTCGGAACACATGTATGTCCTACAACTAAATATTTTGGTGAAAAATTGTCACCCTGTATGTTTTAGTTGAGTTTAAGGAATTGAAGCCAAATGCAATACCATCTTTACATTTACCAGAAAAATCTAGAATTAAATTAAAAGCAAACAAAAAGAATAATGATGGAAAAAAAGCGGACGAAATAAAGGAGGAAAACGAAAAGGTGAGATTAATAGTACTACACTGAAAAATATATTTTTTAACAAATTTATATTCCCTGCGGCTCTAAAACTTGGATTCTAGACAAAATCATCGTGTCCAAAGAAAAACGCGTCGACGAGCGACCAACCCAAGTCAGGTATCCCCCCACCACTATTATTCTAGCGCCATTTTGATGACGAAATACAATTTATTTTGACCAATATCAATGATATTGTAAGCCTCAGCTTACTAAAAATTATAAATCAATCACAGGCTATAAGGGAGACGACGCTGACATATTTTCTTTTATAAAATATCAATTACGTAACAACTTTTTTGCGGAAAATCTACAGCCATTTTAAATTTCGCGGCAATGTGTTTTGTTCCCCTCCCACTCCATCTTTTGACAACAACGAAATTAAAATGGACGCCTAGTGATGTAAAAGTAGGGTTGTTTGTGGATTTTGGGAGAAATATTGAGGAGTTTTATAAGTTAGTTTCAGATTTTTGGAATAATTCACTTTAAAGAAACGTAAGTAGGTTTTTAATAATTATTCTGTACCGGTTCTTTCAGTGCGTTACCGGTAAATCGAAATGTTTGCATCTGTCAAATCTGATTTGCCGCCATGATGGGTTAAATGTGTTATGCATTTATATTTTTTAAAATTTTCTGAAAATCGATTGAATTTTATTAAAAAGGAAGCTCGTATATTTTGTGACGATTAATAATAGCTTTAAGTAATGACTTCACCGCAATCCATTAGCTGTCAACAGTATTTTTGTGAACCACTCATAATGTTTCATATCATGTCAAATTAAGGCTGGTTCTAACTGAAGTATAGCGTCAATCGAAAGAATTCAAATATTTAATTTTCTTAATATAGGCCTTAGAATGTGCTGAAACATGTTCTTATAAATTAATATTTTATGGAAAATTAGGTCCCTTTTAATAACATTTAAATTCTAATAAGGTTAGATATTTTACCGCCATATTATTATTGTCTAATAGAAATATTCTCTAGGTGAAAATGCCCAAAAAACACATTGAGATTTTGCCCAGGCCGCGGGCACAATCGAGACGCGCAGCTAGTAAAGAAGCCTTGAAACAAATGCAACTTTTGCTTGACGATGATGAAGATGATCCTGTTGAGATTCCATCGGATGATGATGTAGGTGGAAAAATTAATATCTGTTCATTTTTTCTTGCAGTCTTATTTTCGTTAAATTCTTTCATTTGAAAAAATACTATAAAAAAATACTGGCATCTGTACCAAAGTTCCAAGACTACATCTTTCTTTAAAAACTATGAATTTGTTATCTAGTGTCAATTAGTTATTTTTATATGAAATTGAGATATAGGTCTGTTGTGTATCTCGACAATGAAAACGCCTCCTAGTGGTCAAAAAGTGCATAAAATAATTACATGTAGCAATATCAACGGAAGTAAAAGTGACTACAAATTGTTCTAGGATAGAGTTTAAATTTATATTCAATTTGATATAACTTCCATATTACCATTCCGTATTAGGATTCAAAGTGATCATTCACACTACTTTCATAAAAATTCCATATGCAAAATTACAGTAAAAAGAATATATCTACATACTTACAAACTGCACATAGACTGTTAACTGCTAAAAATGTCATAATCAAATCCAGATAGTATGCCTTAATGCCGAATTTTAAACTTTTTCAATGCCATTTTCCTTGCCTAGGAAATAAACCTACAGAAAGCTTGTATCAATAATCGTTCCTGTCTCTCAACTAATTGTAAGTATAGTAAATGGAGCATAAGTACCTTTTATAGGATTTGGGATGGCAATGGTAAAAGTTTATAAATCGGCATTACTTAATTCTGTTATTTACTTAGCTACCAATATTTTTTATTACGTTAGATGAACGCTGTGATTTTAAGTTATAGTGAATTGAATTGAATTGAATGTACTAAAATGACAGTAAATTTGGATGTTTATTGAAAAGGACTGCACACCAAATTGTCAGGTATGATTTTTTTTACACAAAGTAAATTTGCTTCCTATTCGATGAATATTGTCCAATTACTATTAAATAATTGTTTATAGTAGAACCTATATAGTACCTAATTTTTTTCATAAGAAGTGCCAGTACATAAAAATGCACATGAAACTAAATAATGTACATGGGGATACTATTGTTTAGTTGTTTGTTTGCCCAGATGTGAAAAATTAATATAAAAAATAGTTGTTCTGTTCTCACAAGAAAAGCATGCAAGATTTATTCTGCAGAATTGTTATTCTTTAAAAAAAAGATTGTTACAATTATTAATGTTGTAAAACGCTTTAAAATTTATTTCTGTAGAATGTTCATCGAGCACAAAGAGAACAAATGAGAACAAATCGTCATAAAGGACCTGAGAACTTGTGTTTTACATGATATTTTATAATTTTTTTTTAAATGATGAAATTTTTGTTATTCGCTAAAGTTCTCATGAAAATTTCTTCAATGTTCTTGAAAATTCCAACATTTTCATAAGTAGTATTGAAACTAGTAGTTATTAAAGTGCGGAGTGCTGCTTGTGTAATGTGAAATTTGAAAAAAATTAGTTAAACGTTTTCTTTTTGTATTCCATAGAATGGTTTTTTTTTGTGTATAAACATTGACGAATATTCTCAAGCAACGTTGTCGCCTTTACAATACTAGTTATAATGCAAACCGACCCACTCACTTAATTATGCAAAATGTTTACAATAGGGCAACCCACTAGTGGTAGACAACAGGCCTATACATTATGTTTTAGTTCTTTTAATAAGGGGTTAGGCAGAATGAAATATCCATTTTCAAAGTAAGTTTGTTTCATAATATAGTGAGACACAAATTCAAATGAAGTTACCATGCTTTCGCGATTGCGAAAAATGTCAGTTTAGTTGTAAATTTGGAGCTTTAGTCCAATATTCAACGTTCTTTTGCTGTTGAAATTTACTTTAAGAATAACAATTCTATTATAACCACCCAGCGTCTATTTCGTCGTCACTTTCATTTAAATCTGTAATATTCAGTTCCGAGTCAAATAGCAATTACAAAGTAGGTAAACAAGTTTCGCAATGCTGCTTCATGTGCCAGAGAAAAACCAAAAGGAAGAACTCGTTCCGAATGCACACTTGACAAAGCTGAGAGGGTAAGAGCAGCTTATTATGAAGTCCTAAACGATTTGCTAAACGACAAGCATTAGTATGCAATTTTCCAAACTGAAGTTAGGACTTACCACTTCATAGCGAAAAAGTTACTGTGTGGCGCGCAATATCAGCCTTTCAAAGTTTAGAGCTGTTTTTCTGAGGAAAGTGACTTGCCTGTTACTGTTACTTTGAACAATGTTGATGTGGATATTCGAAGACTATGGTTTTAACAGGACGGGGCCACTTCCCACACTGCTAGGGAGTCTATGGCAATTCTGCGAAGAATGTTTCCTGGTCGCAACATTTCGAAATTTGGGGACCTCAATGGGCCGGCACTGTCGCTGGATATCTTTGCTTGTGATTTCTTTATATGGGACTACATAAAGTGAAAAATGTTTTCTAATCGATTGCAAACTTAAGACGAACTGAAAAATAATGTTCGGACGGAGGTTAATGCAATCTTAGTTCAAATGTTGGTGCGGGTAAAGTAAAACTTTCGTATTAAACTTCAAAAGTGCCAGCAGCATGCCAGGGGTCATCTAAATGATGTAATTTAAAAAAAAATAAAATTTCCGTGTTTTCTCAAGAACCTTTTGTTTGATTTTTGAATAAAAATTTAGTCACTAGTTAAAAACGTCCAAATTTAAAATGTATACTTCATTCTGCCTAACCTTTTATATAACAATTTATCAAATCTTATTGTGCTGAATAATTTTAAATGTGTTTTTTTTTTCGTAAAATAATATAATTATTAGTTGCAATATTAATATTTGATCCACAGGTTATTCCAGTGGAACCCTCACCACCGCCGCCACCACCACCTAAGAAAAAGTACAAACTAACACACAGAAAATCATCAGATGGTCATGGTAAGAAAAATAGTCACAAATACGTAAGATATATAGAAATTGCTCTCTAGAAAATAATACAAGATTTTAACTATATTTTTTTATAAAATATGTTTTAGACCGAGATGTAATTGTTTTAAAAACGATAACAAATCGGGATGCTGAGAATACCTTGGAATTGGATTGTTGGGTTGAACAACTAGAAGAAGTCCAAAAGTCCAGAATCCAGAAAGTGCAGGAGGAAGAAAAACTGTTGCAGGAGAAACTCGAAGCACTCATAAAATCGAACAATGCTGAAGTTATTCACAAGAGCGACCTTAACACCATTGTAGAGGTCACGGAACAAGTCCAAAATGCCGTATCTGGTAAATATTAATATACAGGGTGTCAAAAATGAAAGATTATTTTCGTCTGAATTTAAAATTTTCTTATGTGAACATGTACCCTTGAACTTACTTTTGAGATACAGGGTGTTGAAATTTTCAAAATATATATAACTGTTAGAAGGTTGGCTGCCATAATTTTAATAGTTGATAGTCATCAAAATAAACAAGAACCTATGGTATGGTTGCTAAACCCAACCATTTTCAAGAATATCAAAATGAAAAAGTTAAGGTCGATGGAGATACAGACAAATTTGATACTTTCAGAGGTTTGTCCTCTTTCTCGAAAAAATTAAAAGAAAAGTAGTTTCAATATTACAGATTTGATTTTCGAAATAAAATTCAAAGGCAAAAACTGTATCTCGATAAGTTGAACTGTTTAAGGAGAAACGCCTCTTTACAGGTTGGAAAAATGTGATTTTTGGGAATTTTTAAGGAAAAATCGATACAAGATATTGTGTTAGAAACAAAAATGTGTTATGGTACATATTTTCAGGTAGTATTGTGAATATTTTCAAACAGGTTGGATTCAAAATGGCTGTGAGTGATGACAAACAATAACACCTTTTTTTTCAGAGGGCTTTACTGATAGTCTTGGAAATTAAAAAATATTAATGTTTTTTAAGTGAACATTGAAATGAAATGTATTGAAAAAAGTTTTTACATTAAATCGTTAATAACAATGAAAATTGTTAGTCGGTGGAAAAGCCCCTACGATATTCCATGAATTAATGTTATTGTGAAGATCTGTACAAAATTTCATGTCGATTCGTTGAAAACCTTTTGAATTGTTTCTGGCCAATTAAAAAAAGTGATTTCTCGAAAAATGCGTTTAAAGTTTTTGTTGCCATTCAGCTTGAGGCATTTATTATACAGGGTATAGCAAAAGTACCGGAATGGCAGAATAACTCGGCGGGAGAGCATTTTAAAGAAAAATGATAAATACAAAAGTTTCAGAATTTCTCCCTGGCTATCTGATGGCGACCTTGACCTTGAAGTTCATTTAAAGGTCAAATGTGATTTTTTAAATAAGACCCTATACTTTTGACCCCAGAAATGAAAAGAACAGAAAATTTTACGTTCAGATATAACCTTGAGTGACCCATCCCTTTTGGGGGCCCCAAGGTCAAACTAACAAAAGTACAGGAACAGCAGAATAACTCGGCGGGAGAGCATTTTAGAGAAAAATGTTATATACAAAAGTTTCAGGATTTCTTCCTGGCTATCCGATGGTGACCTAGCATATGAAAAATCACATTTGACCTTGAAATGATCAAGGTCAAGGTCACCATCGGATAGCCAGAGAGAAATCCTGAAACTTTTATATTTAATATTTTTCCCTAAAATGCTCTCCCGCCGAGTTATTCTGCCATTTCTAATTTTCCGCTCTTTTTATTTCTGGGGTCAAAAGTATAGGGTCCCATTTGAAAAATAACATTTGACCTTGAAATGATCTTCAAGGTCAAGGTCACCATCGGATAGCCAGGGAGAAATCTTGAAACTTTTGTATTTAACATTTTTCTCTAAAATGCTCTCCCGCCGAGTTATTCTGCCGTTCCGGTACTTTTGCTATACCCTGTATACTTTCAAACAGCGATGCCTGCATTATAATATAATTAGCATTCTATCTATATCTTCTATATTCCCTTCAGCTTGATCTGACTCAAACTGGCCTCTATAATAGCTATGGTGTTCCCGATTTTTCTTCCACCTAAAACTTTCGTATTTTCTTCACATAATAAAACATTGTTCAAACTATTTATCCAAAAATTGTTTTTTTTTAACTCTAAAGTAGCTTTATCCCTTAAGACAGCCTTTCCCAACCTTTTTCAATGGCGGACCCCTAGCGTCACTTTACAATGACCCGCTGACCTCTAAAAAAAAAAGAATAAAAACGCTCAATAATCATACTTTTGTGGGGAAAGGTAATAACTGCTTCAGCGCCAATTCCGATAACTCCTTATAATCAGATTTTAAATTTAGCCAAAAGTTTGTTGAAGTACATTCTTTGAATGATCTTTTTAAAATTGAACCTCAACTTATTTTAATTGGTTTTCCTGGGTAGATGTCAGGTCTGTGACATCTGTAACATTTACATGAAATGGGTCCATAATTCAATTTTCACTTGGTTTGGGACTGGAAAATAATCCCGAAATGAGGACTTCAGGAAGCTCGAAGGTGCTCAGTGATTACTTCTTGAGTTTCCTGTTGCAACATAGCCCCGCCAGTTGATAGCAAATATGAGGAAAAAGTATGAAAATTATCAAAATTATCTTGAAGTGACCTATTTATCCATAAATCAAGTTTTTTCAACATCGCTTCTACTCTTTCTTTAGTGATGAAGATATTGATATCATCTGTACCTTGTAAACTGCGGAACCCCGGGGATAGGCCCACAGACCCCAGGTTGGGGATTCCTGCCTTAAGAGATACAGAACATTTTTCACTTTTCTGTGATACACTATAACTTTTTTGTTTCTTTTGGTGAGGACGTTTTTGACACTTCTTACATGTGATATTTTTCTAGTAGGTTCTTATTATTTTTTTCTTGAGCTGTAACAATCTTTTATTTTTTAAATGGAAACTTATATTTTTCAGTTGAAATCTATACAAAATTTCCTTGTATAATATATGATACTTAAACAAAAAATCTTTTTCAAAAATAAATGCCAAAAATTATGTTTTGTTATTCAACATTTTAAAACAATTCAAGTACAACAAATTCAATGGAAGTTTGTGTTGACCAAACAATTAACGTTAATGTGACGGCAATAACAAAATGGCATGGCAGACACAACTTTCTTTAGAATTTTGATTCCAATGATTTGATTCCGAAATCTCATGTCTGATTTTTTTTTTATACACAGTTTTGGTGTGAAATTTTCTTACTTAATACATACTCAAATTATTCAGATACATTTCTTTGGAAATTTTAAGAAAATTATTTGTAACTTACGAAATTTTTGAAAATAATTTAATCACTAGTGATTTAGAAATGAAAATATTCTTATATTTGGATGAGGAAAATACTTCTTCATTTGTGAAAGACATTGATGTGTTGCACCCTACATAAAGCCAAAGAAACGAATTATTATTTTTTTTTGCGTTTCCAGCTGCTCCTCCCTCTAACATAATCCTTAATAATACTGTGGGTGGAACCTCTAGTTATCAACTCGTTATGGACCCACGACTTGGCCTCATTGTGGGTGCAGTTAATACTCCATCACCCACAACGTCTACAAACACCCCCGCTCCGAAAGTTTATCAAGGAAAAGTCCAGGTAAAAAACAAAAGAAAATAATAAAAAACCATTCTTTTTTATGAATTATGAATTATTATCTGAATTTTAGGTCGCACAAGGCTTACAACAAACTGCCACCACTTCCAATGCTCAACCTGCTACAACTCGAGGAATGAGAACGCGTAGGGGAGCAAAGAATACACCACCGCCGGCACCACCTGTGCCTCAGCAGAGGTCAATTCCTCAAACCAGGTCAACACCTGCTCCAGCAAAAAGTACTCCACCTCCTCCTAAGAAAACGTTGGTGACATCATCGCCTGCACCTGCCACTCGAGGAAGAGTAAGTGTTAAATTTATACTATTTAGTAATATAATGCATTTTCTATATACAGGGTTTAACTTTGAATGGGTGTATATTTATATGAAGCCTACTTGACCTTTAGAAACACATAAGTTTGTTTTCTCAAATTCCATTGTGAAAACTGACCTTTCATAATTTTCATACCCTTCCTCTGGACAGACTATGCCTCACAACCTTTAACCACGAATGCACATTAGTTTGGAGTTGTGGCGTGCATTGTCATATCTTTTTTGATTTGTATACAATTTTTTCCATGTTACACAGAAATTTAACAATGAAGACACACAAACACACCATGCCGACAGTAAACACTGCACTATATGAATTATATTTCGGTTCATATAAAAATTAATATTCCACTCAGAAAGTCAGAAAATTACCTATTGTGTTAACAACTTCTTGTAAACCGATACTGAACTGAAAACTAAAATAATTGTAATAAAATGAAGCAGAGATGTATTCGGCCATTCTTGTTTCACCAAATTAATGTTGGCCGTTTGTTTTTCTGCCAGCCTAGCACCCTCTTGTCATATCACATCAGGTGGATTGTTAGGTAGTTCATCTAAACTAGGTCAAGGTCAGACGTCATTGACACCAGGATTCACAAACTAAACACAGTGCTTAAAAAATATTTTTCAAATTGATCAAATTCGTAAGAGTTCTTTTTCTTATTGCGTATACTTTATAAAAAAAAAAAATATCATTTTAAGGCATATACATATTTTAATTACAAATAGTAACATTTGCATATCCATATACCAATATTTGGTAATATTTAAGAAATCATGCAAAAAAATATAAATTTTTTTAATAACATTCGAAAAGTTTTTTGTTTGGCATCCACAATTGACAAAAAATATATAGTGACTTTAAAATAACATATCGCAAAGTTGTACGAACGTTATCGGTTTTTACAAAATTATTTTCTATTGCAGTTTCAATCTGCCACTGTTAGTTCTATATCGTCCCTATTATCACGTAGAGGCGTATATGTATATCCATTTCATGGATTATACGCCTCTACGTGATAAGAGGGACGAATGTAATGAAATTTCAATCTATTGGCTTGAATGTGTAGTATTTTTTCGGAAACCCCACATTTTCAAGAAAAAGATTTGGAGGTTTTTTTCCTTTGAGCTGGCATTTTGGTCGATAAGACCTGAAAAAAATTTTTTTGGAGGCATGCATCTTAAAGTTTAGGGTCGTATGCCATGATATTTTCACTCCACTTATAAGTCCTTATTTGATTTCGATGCAGAAATCCAGTTTGAAAAAAAATTTTGAGTGAAAAACCCCATATAGTGATTTCCAGCTGCATTTTTTGAGGAATTCGATCACAGATTCTGAAAGTTGATGATTTTACGTCGGATACGGTAATTTTTGAATTTGTTTACGATCTTTTTTTTGTCATTGTAGCCATTAAAAATGGAAAAAAAATACGTCCCTTCAGACGTTTACGGGTTGAACAGAGGAATAAATGAAAAAATATCTTGAAACTGCAAAAAGAATTTGTCCAAGGAAATGTTATGAAACTTAAATCATTTCAAAAATAATAAATTTATTCCATACTTTTAAAAAAATTAAAGGGTCAAAAGAATTTCCGAAATTTTTCCATGATTTCTGACAGACTGTATTTAGATGAAAAATGGTCGTATCAGGAATTAAAAAAAAAAGCATTTTGAAACTAAGATTCTAGTTTTTAGATCTTTTGGTCGAAATTTTTTAGGAGCTATGGTGATCATGCAATTCTAAGAAATAGCGCGACAAAAAAATTTTGCAATTTTTTTTTATTTTCTCCACGGACTAAAAATTTTTTTCAGCTAAACCATTGCATGGACCATATAGCTTGTTTATTCAGCTTCAATTTCCTTTTTTTTTTTTAATTTCGATACGACCATTTTTCATCAAAATATCGGACTTTTAATGGAAAAGGTTCTTTTTGTCTTCAATCATCGATATCTCGGCGACAAATGGTCGTACAGAGAATTGAAGGGCAGTTTCGAAAACTGGAATAAATTTCCTATAACATGCTGCCGCAACTTTTCGGAATTTTTTTTTCTTACACGAATTAAAAAAACGGAAAAATGGGTAATTTATGGTTTTTTAGAAAATTGACGGCTAAATTAGAAATATTCAGGAAATGACTAATGTTAAGCATGACTTTTACAGTTCGAAATACCCAGATGAACCCTGTGAAGTTTCATCTTGATCTAGCGAACCGTTTCTTTGTTTCAGTCAAACTTGATAAAATTTTTTTTTTGTTTTTTTTTGGAAAATCTTCCAGACATTGAAGAAAACAAAATCCAATTGTTTCCAGCACGATTTGGCTTTTGCATCCTATGCTTCTGTTCGTCAACTTTTTATTAAATTAAAATTAAAGTTGACCCAAACCAGATTTCGACTCCGATTCATACCGTTTTTTGAGACAAATTTCTAATTAATATTTATACAGTCTAATCACTTACAGTTTTTTTCAAAACTACCCTTTTTCTTCTCTGAAAAGAAATTCAAAATTTTTCATCAATATAAACGTTATTTGCGGTAAAAATGTGAGAAAACCTCAAAAAATATTTTTTTTACATAAAATGTGACCCTTTAATTTTTTTCAAAAGTTTAACTGAAACAAAGAAACGGTTCGGTAGATCGAAATTAAACTTCACAGGGTTCTTCTAGGTATATCGAGCTGTAAGTCATGCTTAGCATTAGTCATTTTGTGAATATTTCTAATTTAGCTGTCAATTTTTTAAAAAACCATAAATGACCCTTTTTTCTGTTTTTTTTTTTAGATTCATGTAAAAGATGAAAAAAAAATGTTTTTCCTAAAAGTTTCGGCAACGTGTTATAGGAAATTTATTCCAGTTTTCGAAACTGCCCTTCACTTCTCAATACAACCATTTGTCGCCGAGATATCGATGATGATGATCGATGACAAAAGGATCCTTTTCCATTAAAAGTCCAATATTTCGATGAAAAATGGTCGTATCGAAATTTAAAAAAAAAAAGAAATTGAAACTGAATAAACAAGCTATCTGGGCCACCGCAATGGCTTATCTGAAAAAAAAAATTTCCAAGTCCGTAGACTTTGAGGCTATGTAACTTTGTTACCTTTGAATTTTTGAAAAGTGCCATTGAATCTTCTGTTTTACGAGTAGATTTACCTTCTAAATTACCTTCTAAATTGTTTGTTGGCAGTTTCTGCATATTCTGTACTGTTTATATCATGCATTTTGATTTACGCTCCAGCCGGCAACTAACACCTACACCACAATACGACCATCAGAAAGCAACGTGGAGGGTGGTTTAACAACGGGCACCACTGTAAAGAAAGCTGTCGTTGATCTTACCTCGGAAGACGGACGAGCCTTACCTGATAGCAGAGAAATTTCTTTCAACAAACTGCAAGGCAAAACCTACCCTTCCCTGGTTGTCGTCGCCAGACCCCATCTCAGAGTTTTGGACCTCAGTGTGGATCGTCCCAAGCTGGACGCCAAAGTGAAGTCTGTGTTGATGCACGCTCCGACTAAATTTACTGAATGGTAAGATTTTTTCTATATTGTTACAAAAAGGTCGAGATTTTAATCACAAATTATTTGTATGGAAGTAATGCGAGTTTCTTTGTGCCATTTTACGTTTAGGTGCCTTTTTTTAAAAATACCCTTTTAAAACTACAATTTAAAAAATAATTATCTTATAACTTAGCAATGTTGCCAGTTTTATCTTTTCTAGAAATTAAGTTCCTTTTTTTTCTATATAATAGTACCTATCATCAAGGTCTTACTAATCCATTTATAAATTTTTAGGTTTGTGTCATATATTTAATTTTTTATTAACAAACATTTTAGATTTTTTGTCACAGTTCTCAATTTTTTGTTTATCAAAATCAGTTTATTGCCTTGTTGTGACCTGTGATCAGTGAGACGAAATTAAGTTTTCTATGTTCAAGTATTAATTTTTAGGTTAATCCAACAAGGTTTGGTAAGATCGGAACAGAAATGTTCTGTCCATTCAACGACTCAACTTAAGTTGGGTATGTACAGTGATGTATCTAAATTCCCATATTCTGGAGGTTATGTGTGGATATCAGAGTGTTGTCCTCAGAGATTTGTTTCGGTATTCAGTGGTTCATTGTTCGAGGGATCACCACATCCTCCAATGGTTATATTAAAGTTGTTGTACCATTGGTCGTGTCAAACCAACATACAGAACGTTACGCAATGGGTAAGTGCCTCTCTTTTATCAATTTTTTTTTGCCAACTGAACTTTATTGTTTTTGTTTGGTTGTTTTTTTTATCACAGTTTTATTTAACTGTTAGTTGTTTATTTTCCAATAAAATTTTGAAGTTTCCTCCACAGTTTTTTTATCTTATTTACATGCATATTTGATGCATTGTTGATAAAGCTCTTCCAAACTCAGGAATTCCTTTGGTGTAACCTACCTTAGAGACGCATATCATAAGTTTGTTGCTTCAAATTCCATCATGAAAACTTTTTTTTTCACATCTGTACACAGAGCGCAAATGGCTCCATCTATCGCACTACTTCCCAACTACGCCATTCTAATGGCTACTGCCAGTAGGAAGCGACCTGCTAAAGTTTGCCAGGTACTTATTTGCACGACCGTCGCCAACTGGGCGAAAACAAAATGTTTTAAATTGCCAGTGTTGCAAGAAACAACTACTCTGCGGACTATATGCCCCGACCGGCATTGAATTATACTCTCAGCACCTAGTACAAATTTAGTGTAACACAACACTGCATTATATAAATTCTATTTTGATCCAGTAAAATTAACACCAAGCAGAATATCGCAAAATTAACTGTCATATTACTAAACCGATAAATTTAAACAAAAATAAAGATATTTTCAAATATACTTATACAGGGTGATTCAGTTATAATATCATTAATTTTAACCAAGTATTCGGAAGGCGTAATAGAGGCAGAAAATCGAAAAAAAAATTTTAGTCTATCTTTTAAAAAATAATCAAATTATTCCTTAACTCCCGTCAAGTTGGCGCCTTACTTTGCATCACATTTTTGCTGACTTGGAATGCTCCGGCGCACCACAGGAAACAACTGATTATCCAGTCGTCTTACAGTTGGTTTTAAAATCAAAGTGTAGTGGATCCCAACTTAAACAAAGTGTGAATGGATGAGTGAATGTTTTTTTTAGCTACAAAAAATACGGTATATGTACTACAAACTGAATAATTATTTAAACATAATACTAAAAACTCATTTTCAATTATAAAATAACTGCAATAACTTAACATACTCGGCAGAAAGGAGTTTAAATAATGATTTGAAAATATTTTTTTACAGCGTAAATTTGCATTCTAACATTTTTTTAATCGCGTATTTGTATTCTACTCATTTTTCCCTATCTTCCCTTAAAATTATTGAGGATATGACTGAATCACCCTGTATATGAATACTTATCTGTAACAATTTTCGAGATACTACATATTTATTATTAACATACACCCAAAAAGCCGTGAAACATGGTATTGTGGAAAAATTATTGTTTTTCTGTAGATATGGGGAAAAATTATATGATGATTAAATAAACTAAGTTTTTAATTAAAAATATAATTTTTAACAGTTTTATTGTTTGCTAATTTTATATAATATTTTTTTATTAGTCTTTTGACTCTTTTTAGTGTCTCGCTTTGTGTTTATTTTATTTATTATTTTCTACAAAAAAAAAAACTACTTGCTCGCTGTAAACACCTGAAAATTCTGGATCAAATCCAATTGGTCCAGTTGTATGATAATTGTTTTAATAAATAAAAAATTTCATTCAAATCGGCTAAAGCCTTTTTTTAAATTAACACCCTGTATCTCCGAAACGAAGCACTTGTGGACCCAAGTTCATATGAACTTTTTTACATATTTTGTTGAGCAGAATCTCCCTTGGGCTTTTGTCACTTCAACTCTGAAACACCCGGTATATTTATTTCATTCATTTGTTAAAATCTATTATAATTATTGTTTTCCATGTAAACAAGGCAATATGCCTGATAAATAAAATAAATAAATTTGTTAAATTTTAGGTAAAAGTCGATAACCTATATGTAAAAGGCATGTACACGTGGTTGCGGTCTGTCTGCACGGTAGCCCTCCAGACCCACATAAGGCAGCTCGGCGGCCCGGGAGTTAAAGTAGAAATAGGTGTGATATCCTTAGGAACCACCTCACAAGACGGCAACCAGCGGCAAGTCAAAGTGGAGGTGCTGGGCATCTTGGAAACAAACTCCAAGCTTATAAGACTCCGTGCGGTTGAACCGCAATCCGACGGCGACAGGAACTACAAGAAACGGTTCTCGAAAATACTGGAACCCATCTATCAGTGGGTGCACCCGCAAAGTATCCTAGTGGCTGATTTGACGGTGGATAAGCAGACTTTGCATAATATGGGTTTCGCGAACGTACTTCAGTCCACATCGAACGAATACGGAAGTAATCGGCAGATCATGGAGTACTTACGGAGGATAGTTCCTAGGATGTTCCAGAACACGCTGTCTTTACTGTCTAGGCAGATTATTCAACAGGTAAGTTTGTGCAGGACTGGAGTCTAATCCTTTTAAGATGGATACACCTTTTTAAAAATCTGTGTTGCTTTAGGCTAATTTTTTTATTCAGTTAGATAATTTTTAGATAAGACTGACTAAAAATGTGATTAAAATAAAATAACATTTACTTAGTTTTGCCAATTCAAAATAGATCTATGAGGGTTGATCAATAAGCACCTGTGTTAGGAATGAAGACGCAAGTTTTTTACAATTTTTTTATTTTTTTTTATTTCGTAACAGCCTCCTTTTAGGTCGATACACTTTTCCCAACATTTTTGCCATTTCTTTTACCCTTCCAAAAAATACGGTTTGTCAAACTCTTCAAAATAAGCTTCTGTCTCGGTGATGACCTCCTTGTTCCATCTGAATTTTTTTCTCCCGAGCCCTCTTTTCATGTTGGGGAACAAAGAAATCGCACAGAGCCAAATCAGGCGAATAAGGTGGCTGTGGCAGTAAATCGTAGTGCAGTTCATGCAAATTGGCGGCCATGATTGTTCTTCCTTTTTGCTAGAAATCCATGAGGATTATCCCCTTCGAATCCCAAAAAAGGTGATTTTGATCTTTTTGCCTTCTTCGAAGTAGATTCACCTGGAAAAATCCATTGTTTTGACTATTGCTCGGTCTCTGTTGTTTTATCTTCTGTGGCCACGATCCGAGACAGGCATTCATTTACCTAGTGTCAACATGTTTCGCATCTGATTCAGGACAGGTCGGAAATTTTCGAAGTGAACTTTCGATTTATATATCGTTCGAATTACTTTTTTTTTTAGTTTCTAGACGAGTTGGTGTGGCGAGAATGGTTCGGCACTTCTTCCCTGCAGGCCTTCGAGAACCTGGTAGTTCACTTGTCCGAGCAGACCCGTTTCGAAAGCGGACAATCCCTAATCACCCGACTGAACAAAGTCGCCCAAAACCCATTTAAAAACTGGTATATACCCGTAACAACAACAAAAGTAGTGGAGAACACCCAGAAGAAGCCGAGGACTAGAAAGCCGGAAGCGCCTAAAGTCACCCAGAGCGTCAGCGTAGACGTCAATCGTCCCCCAAAATCGACTTCTCCCGATGTACCGGAACAGATGGTTCCTCTGGAGAATTATTACTATGGGACGATAGACCACTACACCAAGAGCAACAAGATAGTGTTGAACATGAAATGTCCTTTCTGCAAGTCGTTATTTAATAACAACATTCAGCTGATGAACCACTTGTTCAAGCACGCGCACAACGTGTCCCAGGACGCTCAGCTTTGTAGGTATTGCTTGACGAGTGTGCCCACTGCCAACGATCTTCTCAAGCATATAGGTGAGTTTGTTGATTTTTCTTAATACATTCTTCCCTTATAATTTTTTCAAATTTTTCATTTTGTCAATAAAACCCAATATAGAGCCTTCATAAATAATTATAATGAAGATAACCAGTAATTTTGTTTGGAAGTTATTAGTCCAATCAATCTGTCACGGCCTTATGTTAAATTTACAAAAAATACCACCTGGAAACAAAAAATATGATGATATAGGAAAAGAAATTCTAAGATAGTGTATTTTTCCTGTGGTGCATAAAAGGCGAAGTTAACCTAAAAAATTCAACGTCAAAAAATGATTTTTCTCTAATAAATAAAAAAGTTGAACTCCAATTGAAAAAACTTAAATAAGAAAGTTGCAGCCATTAAAAAAACCTATCGATTCGATTTTTCAATATATCGATTGCTATATTACTTTTGGAGATATATCGAAAAAACCGTTAAAAATCGATATTTCTTGTTTTTGCTGTATCTCTTGCAAATTTAGGTTTTGAAACTTGTTACTTGCTGTAAATGTAGCCCTCGGTAAGCAAAAAAGTACCTTTTTTTAAAATTAAAAAATGATAAAAAAGGTCATCTCGAAAATTGGCTTTTCTTGCTCGACGAATAGTCTTAGAGAAACGAATCAGGGCTCATTTTTTCCCTTAAGAGTTGCACTTTCATGGTAAAAATAAGTGATAATGATTTTATTCATTTTAAGTGTCCAAAGATGACTGAACAAAGTAAAAAAAATTTGGGTCGCGTTTTTCTTGAATATCATTTTCGATTTTCATTTCTCGATAATGTCAATTACAGTAATCGATTGCTGGCAGTTTTACGCGAATTTTTGAAAAAAAAAAAAAACGCTCTACAACCTGGAGCCGAAATAACTTTTTTTTTCAAAAAATTCCACAGGCCGCTATTTAAGTGCTACAGCGATCATTATTACAGAGATTAAAGTTGAAGACTTATATTTTCAATAAAAAAATACTGTGGTTCATTTTAGCCACTTCTGCTTTTTTAATTGTGTGTCAAACCGAAGCATTCGAGCGCGCCGTGCTGTCTATTGCGGGCGGCAGAGTGGGGTAACGCTACTCAGCAGCTCCGAAAACTGAATTCGCACGTTCAAAAGCGCTCTTACTTTCAAAATTTTCATTATTCCGACTTCTGGACCACATATACAAATGCTTTTGTACTTAATCTGGGGTAGCTCGAGGAGATAAACCAAAATATGATGTTTACGATGGCCTCAAAAGCATAATTTGACCTTTGAAAAATGTAATTTTCTTTTAGTCTAAAATTCTGTCACCTCTTGTTAACATTTCAATAATTATTTATGAAATAAAGTAAGTACAACGTTTTACGGTAATTATATCTTTTGGTTATTAAAGTATTACAAAATATTTATTTAATTATCATACAGAAAATTACGTGGTATAAAAATATGCGTCAATTACATTTTTTATTGTCACAGATTATATATATCACTTTTATGTTTCAATTCTTCTTCTCTTCAATTCCCTCGATTGTGATTCATTTTCTTCTTCCATGGTTTCGTTTCCTATATTTTCCATGCAATCAATTTCATTTTCCACATAATTCGTTCGCATCAATGAGTGATTCAAACGCTTCAAAAGAATCATCGTCTAATTGGATGTTTGGAGTTTAAAGTTTTCACATTGAGATGCATCACAATGTAAACAAACACTTGTACATTTCAAAAATTTTTTTTTACAATCAAAGATTTTATTTTTGCAATCGCTGACTCAGCTACATGATTTTTTTTGCAAAGGTAATTATGCTTTTGAGGCTGTCGTAAACGTCATATTTTGTTTTATCTCGTCGAGCTACCCCAAATTAAGTACAAGAGAATTTTTGTACGTGGTCCAGAAGTCGAGATAATGAAGATTTTGAAAGTAAGAGCGCTTTTGAACGCGCGAATTCAGTTTTCGGAGCGGCCGAGTAGCATTACCCCCACTGCACCGTCCGCTACTGTTAGCTCGCATCGTGCTGGATTGCTTCGGTTTGACGCACAATTAAAAATGCAGAAGTTGCTAAAATGAACCACAGTATTTTTTTATTGAAAATATAAGTCTTCAACTTCAATCTCTGTAAGGATGGTCACTGTAGCACTGAAATAGCGGCCTGTGGAATTTTTTGAAAAAAAAAAAATTTCTCGGCTCCATAAGGTCGTAAAGCAACGTTTTTTTTTAAAATTTGCGTAAAAATGCTAGCAATCGATTCCTGTAATAGACATTATTGAAAAATGAAAATCGAAAAAGATATTCAAGAAAAACGCGACCAAAAAATTTTTAGTTTTTTCAAAATCATCTTTGGACACTTGAAATGAATAAAATCGTTATCACTCTTTTTTACCATGAAAGTACAACTCTTTAGGAAAAAAATGAGCCATGATTCGTTTCTCTATGACTATTCGTCGAGCAAGAAGAACCGAATTTCGAAACAACCTTAATTTCGAAAAATTGTTATAACTTGAAAAATTTTTAATATTTTTTAATTTAAAAAAATGGTACTTTTTTGCTAGCCGAGGGCGACATTTACAGCAAGTAACAAGTTTCAAAATCTTAATTTGCAAGAAATACAGCAAAAACAAAATGTTGTTTCAATATATCTCGAAAAGTAATATAGCAATCGATATATTTAAAAATACAGATCGATAGGTTTTTTAAATAGCTACAACTTTCTCATTTAACTTTTTTCGATTGGAGTTCAAATTCTTTTTTTTATTAGCGAAAAACCATTTTTTTGACTTATGAATTTTTTAGGTTAACTTTGCCATTTATGCGCCACAGAAAAATACACTGTTAGAATTTTTTTTTCTATATCACCATATTTTTGTTTTCAGGTGGAATTTTTTGTAAATTTAACATAAGGCCGTGAAAGATGATTGGACTATTATTTACTTTACGTTTAAATTTAAGAATAAAGTTTTTATGTTAATGAACAAAACCTATATTTTTTTTCCAGCCACGTCCCACCCTGCCGAGACCAAATTCGACAACGGCTTCGTCTGTTTGATATGCGAAACCCACTACATGAACCCATTCGTGCTCGGCAAGCACATGTCGAAGGAACACTGCCCCTCGGAGCTGCCGTACCAGTGCGGCACCTGCGGCTACCGCTGCTCCAATCACAAGCAAGCCATCGATCACTTCTACCGCCAGCACGACAACGGACCTACGATACAGTGCCCGTTCTGCTTGAAATCCACCACGGTCTTCTCCTCCTCGAGGAACATCGTCCAGAACATGAACTACTTCATCCAGCATCTGCAGAAGCACCAGCGGAAGCAGTTCGCTAAACGGTGCGGCAAGTGCAATTTGTGGTTCGTCCAGAAGGACGTGCTTAGAGACCACCAGATGAGGATGCACGTGTCTCAGAGGGGCAAGAACGGTTTGGTGCCTTGGAACGCGCCCAGGAACGGCGTTATGGTGCCGAAATCGAAGATGGATAAGTATCCCTGTGACGCAGATGTGATTAACTTTAGTGCGTTGTACTTTAATGTATCCAAGAACCTTTTGTGTAAGGAGTGCAACACCCCCATGGATACGTCGAAACATTTCCCGTAAGTAACATTCACTTGTCATCATTTTTTTTATCAGAAATTGCAGATTTTTTACGTAAAATCATGCTTTGTTTGAATTTTTCGAATTACTAATTTAAGTTTACTTAATTTTCTATAGTTTTGACAATTTTGTGAGAAAAATTGTATATTTTTTTTAATTATGAAATAACTGAAATTATTTTGCTTCAAAACCAAGAAAATTAATTGTTGACTAATTGGGAGATACCTACAAGCGCAGATCTCCCTGGATCTGAGAAGAAAGCGTTTTTTTTTTCATTTCATATTGATTGATGCATTAAAAAAATTGGGGATAAATTAAAACCAAAAGAGGTTAAATTACAAAGTAAACCAATATATCTATACATTTTTGGGTGCACTGAATTTGAATTCGGTGTCCGTTTGACCCGATTAGCTCTATATTAAGGTCAGTTCAAGGTCAAATGTAGAGAATCAGTTGCCAACAAAGTAAACCAATATATCTATACGTTTTTGGGGTCGCTGAATCCAAATTCGGTGTCTGTTTGACCGATTAGCTGTGGTTGAAGGTCAGTTCAAGGTCAAATATATAGAATCAATTGCCAACAAAGTAAACCTACATATCAGTATGTTTTTGGGGTTGCTGAATCTGAATCCGGTGTTTTTTTGACAAAATCAGATCTGGTTTAAGGTCAGTTCAAGGTCAAATGTAGGGAATCAATGGCCAATAATGTAAACTAATATGTCTATACGTTTTTGGGGTCGCTGAATCCGAATCCGTGGTCCATTTGACCTAATCAGATCTACTAAATTAAAGTTTATTTCTTTAATATTATTTGTTATTCAAATTTTAATATGCATAAATGGATACTTGAGTGTTTTGAGCATAGAACTTAGCAGATCTGATCAAGTCAAACGGACCTCGGATTCTGATTAAGCGACACCAAAAAACATATAGATACATAGGTTTACTTTGTTGGCAATTGATGCTCTACATTTGACCTTAAACTGACCTTATCGCAGACCTGATCGGATCAAACGGACACCTGATTTGAATTTACCAACCCCAAAAACGTACCGATATGGAGCAAACGGACCTCGGATTCTGATTAAGCAACACCAAAAACCATATAGATACAGTGGTTTACTTCGTTGGCAAGGGATTCTCTACATTTAACCTTGAACTGACCTTAACGTAGATCGGATTGGATCAAACGGACATCGGATTCAGATTTATCGACCACAAAAACTTATAGATATGTAGGGTTACTTTGTTGGCATTGATTCTTCAAGTGACATTTAACCAGAGCTAATCGAGTCAAACGGACACCGGATTCGGATTCAACGCCTCCAATAACATATATGGTCTTGTTTTTTGGATATTCCACTTTCTTTTTTTTTGAAAGACAATAAAAATTATGTGCATGTGCCAAATTTGGCAGTGCTAATTTTACAATTCAGTGATAAGTATGTAAATAAATCAAAATGAATTGTGTTGGAATTTGTTATAAGCACATAAATGTAATGTATATTTTTATGAAGTTGAAAATTTGCTCACTTGGAAACTTTTCTGCCTCTTGCATTTTATCAGTAAAATTTTTTATTAAAAAAAGAAACTTCTATCCTGTGACATATTAAATAGCAAATACACACAGAAAATATGCCTGAGGTCTGTAAAATTGTCCCATAAGATATGATCCTGTAATTCCTACAGATTTTCAATTAAAATTATGTGAACCAGTTATTTTAAATGTCCAAAAGAAATTGAGGGGGTTTAAGTCTGGGGACCATGGAGGTCGAGATTATGCTCCTCCTCTACCTATCCAACAATTTAGATATGCAACATCCAAATACTGTCGAGGAACTAAACTGAAATGTTCCGGAGCACCATCATGCATAAACATCATTTGTTGTTTTAACAAAGGAAGACCTACAAATCTTCAGAAATCTGCAATAAATTTCTTAAGTCTACCTGAACTGACTAAAGAAATAACCCATGAGAAAGTCTCCAACAATTCTCATCCACAAATTTAGGGAAAACAGATGACGGCTTTGTGACACCGCGTGTGGATATTTATATATCATATGAGATTTAGATAATTATTATGGCATTCATAGACAAATTAGCCTTATTCATTAAAAGTATTTGTGCAAAAAATTCCGGATTGTGCCTTCTTCTTTCTTGCAACCATCGACACAGAGCCATTCTTCGTGGAAAATTATGTGGTTGATTTTCTATAGTTTTATAGGGTAAAACCAAAACGGTGATAGATACAAAAAATCTGATATTGATGTTCCGCCCTCTTCCTTTTTACTTCGCTGGTACTAAAAGACCTTAGCTAACCTAATTAGTTCTATATATACAGGGTTTTTTTAAAAATCGTCCGTTTACATTCCTCTCTATCTCCGTTGTCATTAAATTTAGGGGTTAAAAAAGTTTGAACATTATTTGTTCTATTTTTTATGAGGAAACCATTGGCGTACTCAGATTTCTTATAAATTGCAATTTTTTAATATATAACACCCTGTATTTGGCCATCCTTTTGAACAGCAATTTTTTTACCTTTTTGACCATATAGATACATTTTATTTGCCTAAATGAAGAAAAATGCAAAAAATGTATAGGTATTCTTTCAGTTGGCCATGTGTTTATTTAGTATTCGACTTTTGTTGTTTAATATTAACAGTTAATTTATTTTTGACTGATGGAAATCTTGTTGAACGACTATTACTTGGTTTAATAAATTTTGAAAGGTGTTTAAAAAATCTATGTTTGTGTAATATTGGAAAAACTGTGTGATTTGTGAAAAATCTGAGTACACCAATGGCTTCCTCATAAAGAATAGAACAAATAATGAAGTTTTTTTCTCCTAAATTTAATGACAACGGACATATAGACGTTAATGTAAACTTGTAAACTGGCGATTTTTCAAAAAAGCCCTGTATATCTAAAACTAATTTTGGTACCAGCGAAGTAAACTCAAAAGAAGAGGACGGAACATCGATATCAGATTTTTTCTATCACCGTTTTGGCTGTACCTTATAAAACAATTGAAAATCAATCACCCTGTACATGCTAAATATGATAAGAATACAAAAGATAACTGTTTGAGGGTGCCCATTTTTAGCAGTACATTTTTTGAAATTGTCGGTGCCACTAAACTGCTGATGTAAAAGACTAAACGTTGTATGATGCGGGATAACGCCATCTGGGTAACCTTCTTTCATAACGCATAAAAAATTCAGTGTTAAAATAAACTGCAAACAAAAACCAACACAATCTAATTTCACACCTCAAAATAGGTACACTGAAGTGACAGGTCAAACAAGTCTCGGTCAACTAGGAGCAAAACCCAAAATACATAATCACAAAAACATTCACATATGAGTATTACTGATAAAGGTTTTAAATTTTAAAATTCAGGTAGATTTTTATTCACTAGTTCGAAAACTGAGTTCCGGATGTGTTTCTTATTAAAAGTTGGACAATTTCTAAACTCCTATATACCCTGTAAATTCATAAATATCCATTAATACCCTATTATTATTTTAGGTCTTTCGAGAGTTGCCAGAATCCTAATTGTCAGTATTCGACCTGCTGTACGAATGCCATGCAAGAACACAATGCTAAATGTAATAAAAATTACAGCAATCCCGTAGCGGACGACAAGCTACCTTTCGAAATGTTCTGCGTCTGTGGATATAGTAACAAAGATGGTGAGTTGAAACTTTTTAAAAATATTCACAAAAGTTTTCAATTGAATATATTTCTAATTAGCATTTTAAAAATTTTGGTTCCGTAGGGAATCAAATGGCAAGGCATCTGGCGATTTGCGAACGGAAATCAGCGTACCCCTCTAAGAAAGAAGCTAAATCAGCAACAGTAACTCATAGCATGTTGGATGTCCTTGGTTTAGTAAGAAAACCGGAGGAAGGCCCTTCCGGATTGAAGAAAACGACGCCTTCATCCGCAGAAAAGAGAACCGAAAAGGAAACCGTTGTGTTAGACAGTAAAACCGAAGACAAGGAAAGTGAACGGAAGGAAGTAAATGAAAAGGCGGATACTGATGAAGTAGTACCAGTAGACGATCAAGAATCCGAGAAAACGGATGCAGTGGAAGAGGTAAGTCTTCACAGTGAAGAAAAAGGTGAAGAAACAGATAAAGTGGTGAATACTCAAGAAACAACTAGAACGGAAGATAAAGAAGTTAAAGAATCGAATAGTGAGGTTGATGACGTAACTCAAAAAGAAACAAAAATGGCGAATGAGCAAGAAGGTGAGAAAGTAGATGATGAAGAAACCGAGAAAACAAGTGAAAAAGATAAACAGGAAAGTGAGTGCAGCGGAGAAGACGAGGCAAATGAAGTAAGGGAACCACTAGTCAGTTCCAAATCACCTGAATCGGAAAAGGACGAACAATCTGAGTCTGAGATCAGGTCGACACGAGAACAATCTGTAGAAAAAGAAAACGAAGAACGCGAGGCTGTTGAAGAGAAAGAAGTGATAGAGGACTCTACCAAGGAACAAAACGTCGAAGATGGAGACATAACATCACATCAGAATGTCGTTGAAGAAGTAGAACCACAAAAAAGTGTGGACGAAGAAACAGAACCAGACCAAAATGTCCCCACTGAGGATATCGAAAAAACACCCGCATTGCCAGAGAAGCAAGCTCTCGATTCGGATATCACATCTGACGATATCCAAAATATTATTTCGGACGTGGTGGGAGAAAAGTCAAACTCAGAAATGAATTTTGATGTACAAAACGTGGACGAAACACCTAACATGGAAACAGAGACTGATTTTCCCGTCAGGGAGGAATCTCAGACGGCCAGTTCCAACCAAATAGAGGATGTTAATATGCAAATCACGCAAGGGGAGAGCATGGATGTGTCCGAGAACTCGAACGACGTTGTGATGGAAAGTGATGTGACTCCCATGGAAACAGACTAAGTTTAAACGAAGAATATAAATAATTCTGTATGTAAGTAAAGAAAGTGTTTGTATCAAACATAAATAATTTAGCTTGTTTACGAAATTGCTCTTATTCTATAACAGGTGTAAATAGTAAATATATATATTTAAGATTTTTGTAAAAAGGTTTATTATGTTCAGTAAATTGTAACTCTAAAAAGACTTGGTGCGTTAGTAATTATTATTTAAATATTTAACAAGTTCGATGAAACTGTTGTTTTTATTTTTGTAGACTACTTTTATTACTTTTTTCTCTATTGTGTTGCACTATTTGTACGTTTAATTTTGTTTTCCAGTTATCTCTTATTTTATTTTAAAATAAAATATTTTCAATTTATACATTCCCTAAATTTTTGCAGTGGTAGCATAGTTTAAATGTGGTTAATATTCAGAGCGACCTGCATGGTGCCCTGATTTATAGGAGTACAGAGTTCATTAATGCAGTAAGTAAAATTTTTCACATTTTTATAAGAAATCTACTGATGATGCTAATTTACACCCTTCAAATGGCAGTATATTTATGAAAAATTTACATATTCAGAAAGATACATCACACTATTCTTCAAAATGTACTTTGTGAGCCGAGGGATGAGCTTTCTGATACCTTAAAAAATCCCCTGCCGCCTCTCGTGTCAATTGTTTCACGACACTATAAACCTCATCGTCAGTAGAAAATCTTTTCCGCCCATAAACACCTACAGAGAAGAAAAAATATGAAAATCAGATGGTGTCAGGTCAGGACTGTGAGCGGGCTTGTTGATGTTCCAACCAAACGAATCCAAGACTTGCTTTGTTGTGTTAACATTCCACTTCTTTTGTTCTGTAGCACCCTCAGGCATTAATTTCTCCCTAGGGAAAAAGTCAATGAGGTTCTTTACGGTCTCAAAACACTATTGCCATGATTTTTCGAGCCAAAACAACAGTTTAATTTTTTCGCTGATGGTGAAAACGAATGTTGCCACTGCATCGATTGTTTTTTCATCTCGGGGGTGTAATGGACTGCCCACGTTTCGTCGCCAGTCAAGGAATTGTTCACCTTCCAGTTCAAAGTGCTTGACTTTGCATTAATCCATGAGCTGTTTTGGTACACACAATTTTAAATAACCAAGTATTTCAGTAATGATTTCATGAAGAAGAGCTCTGGAGATTTGTGGAAACACTGTGTTCATCTTGTACAGTCAATTAAAGCCTGCCACTATGTGTTTCTTTCATATTCACCATATCAGTCACGATTGAGGGGGGACACCCACTCCATTCGTTCTGTCAATTTTACACTCACGACCACTTGTTTTGATTTCGTTAAAAATCTGGAACGGCGTCTTTCCCTTTGCAAGAAGAAACCGAATTATGCTCCTCACTTCGCAGCTGGTGAGATTCGGAATAGCAGCACTCGTTTTAACATCCCACTACAACAACAGTTCTCAACTGGCTGAGACAGATGAGCGCACGTTCTGCTCCCAACACTAGCTGTGAATGCAATGTTGGCAACTGTGTCGAAAACACCACAGAGCATGCATCAGGGTCTCAGTACCCTTATTTTGTGGGTATGCCTCGTATTAATTTTCAAACATTTTAAATAAGTTTTAAAATGTGATAGTATCTGTTATATTTCGAAAAAATATTAATTTCGCTTGGAAAATTTGGTTTTCATGCATAATTGAATCGTTTCATCAGAATCAACCTGTCACATTTTGAAAGTTTCTAAGAGAAAAATGTTTACCAGGGTATACAAGATATTTCTGAAATAAGTGCATTCTTTCAAAGGGGGTAATAAAATAAATTATGTTAAGTCAAAAGTTTCATATGAATGTGGGTGATAGTACAGTTTCTGAGATACAAGGTGATTCAGAACTTATCCAAAAAAAATTCTGGATGTACAGGCGACTTATAAATACAATTTTGTAAAGAAAAAATCAAAAAGGGCAGGTCGAAAATGATTTAAAAATACACTTCTGCACGGCACTGGAAACTGGTCCACTGTAAAACCTGACCTGGCAATGCGACCCTCACGGCAGCAGTGATAAAAACCTACAAAAACTTGAAAGAATTTCGCAAGGAAAGGAATAAATATAATTTTATAGCACCTGTTTTAAATCAGCAAATTCAACTAATTTTGCTGCTATTATTATTAATTAATAAAATTAACTTGTGGTTTTAAATAATAAAATAATTTGGCATATCTGTTCAAAACAAACAAACTGTTCAAAATTTTGTCTAGCGACGTGTAAACACATTTGGATCCGTCTTACTCAGTTTCTACGAACTAACACAAATTCTGTCTTGTTTCACCATAACATAAATAATGCTTCACCATAATACAAATGTTTTCTTGCTTCATCATAAAATAAAACGATATCCTTCAACTCCGAATTGCCAAAAAAAATGTTAGCGAGCGGGCTGCAGTTAAGGAAAATGCGGAAAGAAAATAAATTTTTTTTTCCGTTTACCTGGTATTCTCGGAGAGCGTCTTCTTCAAAGGGGCCCCTTGGTGACTGGAGCTCTTCCGGAGCAGGTGGTAGGGTAGGAGGTGGACTGTATAGGCAGAAACGCAGATGTGGAAATTTCGGCACAAAATATTATCACTAGGTACAACAAGGATACCCGCCGGCGACTATTTAGACTGAATTTTTTTCTCTTTCCGCATTTTCCTTAACCGCAGCCCGCTCGCTAACATTTTTTTTGCAATACACAAGCCATATTTGACACTAACTACTAAAAAACTATTGTAAACACTATGGCGACAACAACAGTAAAATCGGATTTCAGTATTCGGAGTCGCTGAGACCACGTGGCTCTCTACGCGTATTACTAGTGACGCTAGAGACTAGAGTTGTCCAACTATGTAATGGTTGAAAGTATTACAACTTCAATCATTTTCTTCTCGGAAACAGGATTCGACAAAAAATAGTGTATATTGACGCCATTTTTCATGCCGCATCTATTGTAATGTAATCTTGATCTTATTGTTTTAATAATTTTTAATTTTACTGAAATATGTGCCAACATGACGGAAATAAAATTACTGGTCACGTGGCTTGTAAACATTTATGAATGCTCTGTATAAGGCATGCACTTTTGAAATGTAGCCAAAAATAATTATATTGAATAATACGGTCTCTCTTGCATTGGTCACTCAAGGGCTAATCTTTGCAGATACAGAGGTACTGATATAGATTATTACTGTGTTTTACAGTTTCTACAATAGTAACTTATAACTGTTTATTTTTGGTGTGAATTTCGGATGAAAATAAGGAAATCTTTTAATTAAAAAGCATCACTTTTATTATTCCACATCACATGGATCGCACATCATCACATTCAGTCTTATTCTAAAAAAAATATTTCACCTGCTATTTATACAGTTACTAGAGATTAACCTTATAAAATATATTCATGGCATCGTTTAATATAAATTTTCAAATTGACTAGTTGATAACTTTAGAGTTACAAAACTTTTTTATGGTTGTAGTAACTATTTTTAGAGTATAAAAATATATAGTTAAAAGGAGAACATCGCGAATATATTATGTCCGAAGATTTAAATCATGATTTCTGATCGTCTGCTATTATTTAAATCGCTATTACTAAAATGATATTCTATTCGTAAAAATTATTTTAGTTATATGAGATACAGTAAGACTTATTAAATAGTTATGTCTTAGGAAGTAAATTTTGCAAAAGAAAATCCTGGTAAGTATATGTTTTTGCAACCTAGTGTTCTAGTAACAAGTGGTAACTTTATATAAAAATAAATTTTATAAAAATCATAAACAGAAAGTTAGTAAAGTACCTTAACCTAAGCTGTTAGTGCAGTGAAAAAATTAATTGTAAATTCTTTCATAGTAGTAGAATTCGTAGTGTTTGAATTGCTCTAATCAGCTTTTGCCTTTTCTCTTTCCCTTATTGCTTGTTCCTTCTTTAGTTGTTCTTTAAGCTGGGCCATTTTCAGATTTGTCATCAATTGTGTGGACTGGTATAACCAACTACCCTGTAAATAAAAAGACTCTGAGTGTGGTGATAGGAACCCAAAAACATTATCATTCCTTCTCCGAGAATGTTTGCAAATATTTCCTAAAATTACCAAAAACTTTCTGCAAAATACTGGAAAACGTTTCACCCAATTTATCTGCTGTTGCTTTCCTATTAATGCTTGTGATATGCGCTTTTATTACGGTTTGTTGTCCGACATATATTTATGTAATTGGAAAATATACATTTTCTTTGCTTTAAAGTATCAAAGTACCATCCCACAACCAAAAAAAGCTGTGTTTTTTGTCATAAAGTCAGCGTAGTACTTTTATTAATAAAATGAGACAAAAAGTCAACAAAAAAATATTTAACCACGTCTTGTAAAATTCTAACAAATCATTTGTTATAACTTGAATTTTTCAATTTCTTATTAATAAATTTATTTGAAAAAAAAAAAATATATTACTAGTCCAGTCAATGACCATTTTTCCGTATAATTTTGTCAAACGGCACCGATTTTCATAAAAATTTGGATTTAGGTTCTACTTACCCTCTACTTCAAAGTTGACCTTGTACTGGGGGTTGCTTTTAACCTGAGGGTGGATACCTCTCCTCGGGGGAGAAATATGTTTAATTGAAAATAACACTGGGAATGGATATATTGACTAATTCTACTTTTGTTCTATAAAGTTTTTTCTGAAAGTCAATACTTTTCGACTTATTCGCGAGTGAAAGTGTAAATTTTTTAACCAAAAAAACCACTTTTTCAGATGGTTTTTCGCGAATAATTCAAAAAGTAAGTATTTCATCAAAAAAATTATAAAAAATGTAGCTTATAAAAAAAAAGAATGGTGTGTTTATGGTATCTGTAGATCCAATACAAGCGGAGAAATAGCTTGTTGAAGGTTAGTTCTTATTCGTCAAACACCAAATGCATTCTTCAGGGAATACTCATAGAACCTTTTTTAATGTGCTTGAAAAAACTTTTATTTTTATTTTTTATAAAAGTCCTTAGCATCAAACCTAAGTGAGTTATGACGAAAATAAAGTTGGTCCTTTTCTTTGCAACGACAAAAAACGTGAAAATCACCCCCTAATTACCACTCCAATTGAAAATAATCATTACCACTTTACAATTTACTTTATTTATGTACTTATAATATGCTCTAGTCTAGAAGTTTGACCGGTTTAAATTGCTTTGCTTTGAAAAAAGTGAAAAGATAATTTTTGTATTTATGGAAAAAATTGTCTTCAAAATAACTCAAAAACTATTAATGATACGCAAAATTGTGTATAGTACAAAATTGTAGGTTTTGCTTTTTTGAAAACTTTGTTTTCTTTTTTGTAGGATAAAAATTAAGATATAGCTGTTTAAAGTTTGCATATGTTCGTAAATAGCAACTTGTTCAAGCCCTTCCAGCTCAAACTCTTACAAAAATAAGGGCTGAAAGAAAATTTAACTTATTTGATCTTGTAGCCATTGAAAAAAACCTACAAAACGGTTTTTTGAAGGGCTTGATAACATAAAAACTAAGTGAGTTATGAGTAAAAAACCAATCACATGTTTTTGCAGATATCAGAACACGTATATTGAAGCATTGATGAATACACATTATAGCTATATTTTAGAAATAGAAATAGGAATTTTAGGAATAGAATAGAAAAGGAAGATAAGGGTGAAAAGGATTTTTGATTATTTATGTTATTTGCAATAAAAAAAAATTATGAAAATAAAAAAATTAAAATCCGTATAAAAATAAAATTCTTATTTTCCCTATTGCAAATTTTAATCTGTAGTTTTTTTAAAGGTTTGATAAAATAAATACATCACATTTAAAATAATAAAAAGATTGCATTATATTTTGAACTAAAAATTTTTTTTTAACTATAATTCTTTTTTTTTGCAAGGGGTGGTTTTTATAAGGGTTGAAACTTATAAATAAATAATAAAAAATTAAAACAGTAAAGAAATCTTAATCACTATATGATTAAATTATTCCAAGTTGGTGAATAATATTTTTCAACATTATTGTTTAATGATTGCTGTCATAGGGGGTGGTTTTTTGGTACTGACAAATTTCAATTCAACATAATTACATATTTAAAGATGATTTCAACCTATTATATGCTCGAATCTACAATTCTATAATTGTTTTCGAATAGGGGTAGTTTTAACCCCTAAAAAATAAAATGCACAGGGTCAACTTTGAAGTAGAGGGTAAGTAGAACCTAAATCCAAATTTTGGTGCAAATCGGTGCTGTTTGGGAAAATGATACAGTAACGCCGTATTTTACCTTCAATGACTGGACTATATGGTTATTGTAACATATTTTGCAATGTGTAGACAGTTTAAAATTGGAACAGCCACTATATCTTATACGAGTTGATGCTTATCAAGATGTTGTCTATCATATTTATGTTTTAAAGGCAAGACGTAACCAATTAAATTATGTAATTAGGAAGTCTTGTTTTGGGTATCGAGAATCAGTGCAGAGATGCAGAATAAAAAACAATTTACAAGCTCATTTCTTAATTATGTAAATTTAAATCTGTTCTCTATTGGATTAAATAAAAATTCTCATCATAAATAGGTCATCCAATATATTGCTGTCACTTAAACATGCACAGATTTTAATTGCAAATGATTCTGCTGAAGAAAAATCTATGGGTGTTCTAAGCTGTCTGGAGGTCGTTACCACTTGGTTTGACGTAATAAATAAGAAAGTCAAATTTGAAATCTACAAAACGTCAAGAATTGTGAATTGTACTTCCTACGATTAATTGAATTTTGTATGTTAATTACTACGAATTTTGAAACACCTTGCCAAAAATTATTGTGCAAAATATAACAAGTATTAAACATCTTTTTACATAATGAAACTTAAATTTTTTTTTACTTATAATAATTAACTGTAAGATTACGAGATATTATAAAGCAACATTTTTTACATTTGTTCAAATAACGAGGCTGATACAAAAGACAACATCATCCGGTTTATTTAGTAATTATAACACATAGCACAATAGCACCATGTGATGTGCAATATTTCCATATTGTGAAATGCAATACTAAGATACATAAATGCACTTTCCCATTGCAAGGTTATTTTTTATTAGACAAGAGTACTTTTATTAAAAAACTGTAATAAAAATAAAAAATAAAATTTGTTACATATACAGGGTGTTTCAGAGTTATTGGTTAGTTAATTTATTGACTAATATTACCATTAAATTTAAAATAACTTTAGGACTACTCATTTTTCAAGAAGGATCATATGATTGTTTTCCTAAAAATACAGTTTTAGATACAATGTAGTTACGAAGAGTCAAAAAAACAAAGGTGTATAGATATTTTGCAATTTTTCAAGGTTATATCCTCTGTTTCCTCTAACAATATGCAACATTTCTATGTCCATGATTGCTTTATGTATTTTGCATTGAATAAGTATTGAATTTATTTTATCACCATGGTAGCGTAATCGGTCGAGCATGCGGTGGCAAGCATTTCTCGGCCAGACTTCCTATTCTAGTCCAGGTTCGATCCCTGGTGTCGGCACTGGCAATGTTGATGAGATAATGGGTGTTTGTCGGTGTTTTTTTAAGTGTAGCCCTCTTCTGCACTGCCTTTGGATTTGGGGGTTGTCTCATTTCTATGATGTATTTTATTTTTTATGTTTATGTACCTTTGATTAATTAAATTAACCCAAGTTTTGTTACTCTTCGTCGAATGTCTTCAAAGAGAATTCAGAAAATATTAATTTTTTTTTTAAATGTAAACCCGTACGTCAAAAATGAAGCATTACCAGACATTTCCTCATAGGACCTTGTTTGGCTAATTGAAACTGAAACACCGTGTATATTATCCGTACCTGGTCAAATTTGTTTAATATTGAGAAAATATTTATGTTAATAATTGACGCTGATAAATTTGTTTTTGTATTGATAAGCCAAATCAGCTTTCAACTAAAACCACTGTTTATCAAAATTTAAATGGATAACCGACAATGTAAAAATAAAAATAATCTCTCGGTGCTCTAATTTATAATAAACTCTTTAAAATTGTCTAATAATATAATCTGTAATCTGTTCTATATCTGATCACCTGATAATTGTTTACCAATATGGTTATTAGGTAAAAAAATTTAAGTTTCACTGTACCCATTTTAAAGTTCACGATTTTATTTTTTTCATGCCGCAAAGTTCATCAACATATCTAAATATTCATACAATTATATGCAAATGCCTTGATGCGACATGTTACATTCTGAATATTGAATTATACCCAACTATTGATTATAAATATGCTACACTTCAGTACTTACCACCATTAATATACAATTCAAAAGAATTGGCATGGAAAACACTACTGATATAAAAAGTCCATTGCTGTCAAAATACTGTTGTCTCGAAAATATTTTCCAGTTTGTCGAAGCCATTTTATTTATACTTTCTGAGAAATATACAAGTAACACTAAAAATATAAGCATAATGTTAAATTTTTTAACGTGATTCATTTTTGAAGGCATATTGAACTTACGCAGACAGAAAAATAATAGTGCTTGAAAATTTCCATAATTTCTAGTTAAAATAGCCATCATAAAGATGGAAATGTGAAAAGTAAATAATCCTATCAGCCATGGGTCTCTCCAGTCAATCTGAAAAATTTGTTAATGTTAAAATCCTCGTACCATGATTTTTACTAATGTTTCTATTTAAATATAAATAAATTACATAAAATTACATGTAGTTTTATTTACATTCCATTTACGTTTTATTTATATTCCCTATAAAACTAAGGTTTTATATTAGCGTAAAAGATTACAAATTTGTATATGGAAGTAGCTACTCTGTTATCAATAATATATATTTATATTTCATACTATCATTTTGAAATTCCGAATATCCAGAAAAATGTGGGTATTAAAAAGTAACCGGTTCTAAAAAAAGTGATAAATAACAAACCTTGAACCTAATTTCTGGTCAGTTATAAATAGTTAACTATTTACTTACACTCCACAAAAACGATAAAAAGTCATTTATCTGATTAACTTCCACAAAGTTGCGTTCTAACATATTTTTTATACTTCTAAATAATATGTATTAAAAATTTCAACATGACAGCATTTCACTTTGATAGATTTTGATTATTATTTTCCTTTCCTATTTTATCGCAGTCAGTAATTCGGTCAGAAAGAATTTGGTCGATAATATAGGAATTTTATTTTTAGATACACACTGCCATCTGCACCTAGTAGCATTATTATTATTAAGTCACTTTCTAATTTTTACAGATCACCTTTTCATTGCGGACCTCTATGAAACAATAGTCCTACTATAAAAATTAAGTACAATAAAGTCGCCCATAGAATTTTAAAAACCTAATAAAAATTCTGGGAATAAAATAATATTTTAAATTTATAATGACTGCATTAAGCAGTCAGCATAATGCATTAAAAATGCAACAGGAATAAACCTAACTCAGTAAACATTTATTTTAATTAGTTTTGAAATTGTAATTGATGAAATTCATTCGGCAATGATATTAAAAAAAGAGCTTTAGGATCTATTTTTTAATTTAAATTAAAATAAATAAAAACGCCAATCTAAGAAATCTCATAGATTCAAATAATTAAGTTATTGATCAGAATAATTTTAAAATGCTCTATTTTATTACTTTGCCTCTCACGTATGTATAATTGTTTTGCTACATAGTAAATCGAGACAAACATATAATCATATGATATTTAAAAATCAATTTGAATAGTATATTTCGAGTTATTCCGCTTATTTACATTTGTACCGAATTTTATGGTAATTGCAGTGAATTTGCAATCAAACGATGGTAACTGCTTTAGTACCTAACTGTTAAGCATAAATCAGAACAGAAAATATTGTACACCAATGTGACATTTTGTTTTTTAATATTTGTGCGTGACCGTTATTAGGTAAAAAAAATAATTTCTAGTCAAGTACCTAACGTAAGTTTCTTAATTTTTATTTGTTTGACGCACTACGAATTATTTAGGCCGATACATTTTTGTCTAGTTTATTGTTTTTAAAATACTCATTTAGTATATTGTATGGAATACACCTATATATACAAAGGGATGGTATATTTTCCGCTGTTAAGCAAATATTTAAGTTCTGTATTAAAAGAAATATCTTATAAAATGTGTTTTATAAGTCCTTCATCCTTTTCTAGATAAAAGAGATACGTATATGTATTCCATTCAAGTTTTTTTTAATGCTTTATTACCCTCATTGTTAACTTCATAAGAAAAATTTTTTGTCTAAAACACTATTAAAGTTATAATAAAACAATTTTCGTAGTATTTATATTTCATAGTATTTATATTTCAGTATTTTACTTTATTTTTTTTTAAGAAACATTCCTCTATCTGTCTTATCTTTATGGTAATATTTCATTAATACATTTTTTAATTACACCATATAAGGTGTAATAAATTATTTTTATAAGGCCCGTAGTCTGTTATTTTGGGAGTCAGCTGTTATACAGCACAATGCATAGTGCGTAAGTCAATATCATAGTTTCCATGAGAAATATTGAACGATAAAATTTGAGTCATTTATTTCTTATCGGTAATAGATAACAGGGAATATAAATATAAGTATTTATTTCTACTGCCTGAAGATTAAACAAAGGGTTCTCATGCTCATGTTTTGTAACAGTGGCGTTCGAAATTTGATGTAGTTCAAATAAAATTTGTAAGATTCTTAGTTCTTAATTGAAGCGATAAGTGGACAGAATTGGACTTAAGATTTAGGCTCTAAATCTCTAAGCATAGAATTTATGTTGTTAGTAGTCAATAGTGGAGAGTAAGGCCAAATTTCAAAGAAAACACATCGACAGTAAGTAGAGTTCAATTGAACTCAACTTACTTTGAAATCTTAAATGGGAACTCCTATTTTTTATTGGAGATTAGGTTTCTACGGCTAAAAGTACGTGGGATTTGTCTGAAACATTTTTTTCGATTCATGATAGATCTAACCTACGAAATTCAATTTTTCCGATTTTGAGTGACTAATATTTAATGTGTGAGCAATCTTCTTAGTGTTTTTATAAGGCATCTTCGATTTCATTAAGCATCTGTTCCATTTGAGGATGTTTATTTTTAGCGATAAGTTTTTTGAAACTCCCGGTTTTACTAAGACATTGAAGACTAAACATCGTATGATGCGGTATAACGCGATCAGGATAATATTCTTCATAAAAGCGCCTAGTTGCTAATGCATTGTCGTCAGCAAGACCGTAAGCCCATTTTAGAGACAGCAAGGTAAACATGAGAACACCTCTTGTATCGTATGTCTTGAGAGATGCATGAACTGTAGAGACCGACCGATTAATCGGCTTCGGCATCGGCTTCGGCCACATTTGGCCATTTTTCAAGCCTTCGGCTAAGAATCGGCTTCGTCCAAAATTAAGCCGAACATTTCACCGAAGCCGAAGGTACCATCGGGACGCAGCTGGACTTATCAAATTTAATCAAATTAGGGTTAAATTAGCCCCTTAACACTACAAATTACAACAAAATTGGATAAATAGTGTTTAAAATATTTACGAAATAGCATTTTTTTTATAAAAGATTAACACCCTTTATCTTGAACACGAAGCATCTGCGGACCAATGTTTATATGAACTTTTTGTATTAAAATCACTCGAATAATCGTCTGTTGAATTTGTTGTACATACTTAATTAACACCACACATTAATACAGGGTGTTTCAGGATTAAGTCGACAAACTTTAAGGAGATATTCCCCATAAAAAAAATAAGAAAAAATCAACTATTTTTTTTCCAAAGACGCTTCATTTTCAAAATATAGGGCGTTAAAGATTTTTTAAAGAATTCGAATTTTTTAAAATAACTTCTAAATGAAGAAGGCTATTTAAGCCAAATTTGGCATGATACATCTTCTTATATGATACCATTTTTCCATAGAAGTAGAAGTCCCGCAAGCAACCAGTGGCAGAGTTATGGGGACTCAGATTCATTAAATTATAAAAAAAAATTAATACGACCCTACTGAAAACAAAAAATGATGCTGTTTTTAGATAGAACAGTTTGCTATTGACAAAAAGTGTACATTCACTTTTTTTCCTAACTCTTATAGTTTCACGGCAAAATTGATTTTTCGGAAGGGTGCTTCTGGATTATTTCTGTCGATAAACTTTAAAATGAACCTCAACAAAAATTTTCGAGTAGGCTGCTGTCAAGCAATGTTAATTTGACGTTTTAAATGTTATTTTGCGAATTGTTGCATAAATTATCCATTAGATAAAGCGATCAAACTAATAATAAAAATAAGTTTAATAATGCTGTCCATATTTTCGAACAATGAATATGCTGATATGGTCTTTGTATATGGGTTTTGTGATGGAAATGCCACGGCAGCTCGCCGTGAATATGCAATAAGATTTCCTCATCGCAGACTACCAGCAAAGGAAACATTTTCAACGACATTCAGTCGTCTCAGACAAACTGGGTCTTTCGGTATTCCAACATATGCTGATGGACATTTTGCCCCACTTCAGGATGAAGTAAGATCGAATATATTTTAAATCATTTCGATGAAAATCCATCCACGAGTGCCAGAAGATCTAGCTATGAGCTAGGTATTTCGTCACGTTCCATTTGGAGGACTCTTAGGGCTGACGGACGCCGAGCGTACCATATCCAGCGTGTGAAACATTTATTGCCTCAGGACATACGATGCAGGCGCGTGTTTTGTGACTGGATGTTAAACCAAGCAGAAAATGATGATCAGTTTACGCAAAAAGTAACGTGGACAGATTAGGCAACATTTATTCGAAGGGGAATTTTAAACCAAAGGAACAACCATATTTGGTCACAGGGACAGAATCTCAAAAAGCTGGCCAAAACCTCAAAAACCAAGGTTTTACTTCGGGTTTTTCTTGTTGAGGAATGTGAAGTAGGTGTATGCGCAGGTATATGTCTTGTCCCTGCAGGATCACTTCGAATGTGACAATTACACGAGTCTCATCAAACTACCGAATTTGACGCGCGCCATACGCTACAGAAAAACCACAATATAATCGCGAAAATAGGGCAATTGGAAAAGTATAAAGTTGATTCTCTTCGTGAAGGTATGTAGAATGGAATACAACTTACATAATCCCAAAATTGTTATTATGAAAAAAGTTATTCGTTTTAAATTGAGGGTGTCTTTTTGAGAAAACGCAAACGAAAAGTAAACTTTCAGGCAGACATAACTTTATCGCTCGTTCTTTGGAATATTTTTTATTGAATTGCTTATATACTAACGAAAAAAACGCGTGGTCGACGAACTTATAAAGTATAAGGGGGTTTTCGGGTTGCTGGCATTATTATATATTTTTTTGTTAACTTCTTTCATTATTAGTTATTTGTTAAGGATGAATAAACATATATCTTCAATAAATTATTGGTACATTGAATAAAACATAGTAAAATATGTCACAATATAGTAGTGTCACAGTATAGTGAGATCTTTTGTTTTCGCTCGCTGTTGATTCTATTCACGGGTTAGTTTTGGCTCCGAGGGATGTAATCCCATATTATTCACTGATTTCAGGAACTGCAGATGTTAGAGAAGCACAGCAATAATTGACAAGGAAGGAGATATTCCGCATAATTAAGAATACTCTTGCTTTCCAAACTGTGGACGATGCAGCTCTCGTTCTTGAAGCGCACATCTCGTGCCAATTATTGGGTGATAGTGAATGTGACTAGATTAATCCAAAGTAGATGTAGTGTACAAATTAAAAAAATATATATTTTCCTATCTAATTTTTATGATCAATTCATCTGTACCCAGTTCCTCGCCGGAATCTTGCTGATTCTTATACATTGCCGATGCAATTACGATTAAAATATTTTGTTTATTTAAAAACAAATATATTATTCGTAATTAGCGCAATGTAAAACCCCCAGATACAAAATTTCACCGAAAAATAAGAATATTATAATATACTCGGTCGCCATATTGGACCCGCCATTTTTTTTTTGCCAAAACTGATATTGGATTCGTTATCAGCGACCTCGAAAACCCCCGAGTTGAAAATATCAAAGCCGTTAGACAACGTTTTGAGGTTTTGGCCAGCTTTCTGAGATTCTGTCCTACTGTGGGGCGGTAAGGGAACATAGTTTTCAGCATGAATTCCAATGTAACG